GTTATCAACTTTTTATTAAAAAAACTTTACCAAAACCTGCACTATAAAATCTTTCAAACAAACTAATAAACATTTACAGTTTAAAAGATTTCCAATATAGAGACAGAACATTAGAATACTATCCAGTAGTCTAGTTGTTTAGACCCTATGGCAAATCATAGCCTGCAGTTATTTGGTAATTTTGTGTTGATAAGCTCATATAAGTTCATATTCCTTATCATATTTGATCTTGGAAGCCGTCCTATAAAAGAAGTAGGAAAAAGTTTATAGAGGTTAAATAATTCGGCCTAATCTTGTGAAAAGTCACTGTCTTTTCCCCCAACCCCCAATCCATTTTTATTCATTATTCAGTTTAAATGAAAAAATTTAGAGTAGAAATGAGGAAGAATGACTAGTATGACTTAGCGAGACACAGGTAGTGATTCTACCCTTTTGTTTTTGTGTAACTGAGGAGGACTATTGGCTTGTTTATATGCTTATAAGCCATATGTCTTTCCCCCACCCTTCCCAAATCTTCATCACTTTCTTCCTTTTGAAGGCAGAGAGTATTTGGGTTAAAGGGTAGATCTAGGTTCTGTTATGACCCTTTATAATTATAGCAGTTGCAACGTCACCTGGGAGCCCTTCCAAAGTTAGAGGTGAAAAGTCTCATTTCCTAAAATTCCTCTTAGACTTATACTTGTATGAGTTTATTTAGAATATTATAACTGGGAGCCAGGTACTAAATATAGAAATGAATATTAGGAAATGAATAGTTGATGTCTGATATGGGTTACTACCTTGGAATTCTTATTTAAATATAGTAAAGATAGCAAAGCATAACTATAAATTAAGTAGTTTTTAAAAGCAATAAAGTTTGGAAAGTTTCAAGTTTATAGTGTTTCAATTTTATCAAGTAGCAATTTGACACCTACAGAAAAATTGTTTATTTTGAGACCTGCCCTTATTTTTGCTGAATTTTAAGCTATTCATAGGGCTCACAGTATAAATAGTGAAAATTTAATATCTGTAAATGACTGTTTTTCATGTTTCGTTTTCCCCAAATATTAAGACGTTTAAACATGAAAGGATTCTTCTTGGGATGAAACTCTAAAGTGAAACCTTATTTCTTTAATTCTGCCCATCCGTACTTTGAAAGTTTTGAATGAATGGTTACTTGAGTTTTTGTTTGGATTTTTTGATCTAAGGGATCAGTTTTGAGTGGGATTATTTGTGTTAATAGAGTTATAAATTTTTTTTGTAACTTGTACTATGAACTTTAATTTGTTAAATATTTAAGTGGTATCAGTCTATGAGGTTTTCACTGTATGAGGCAGATTTTCCCTTCTTTTACTCACACACACAAACTGCTTAATTAAAGCATTTTGTGTTTAGGCAAGTATAGGACATGTTAAAAATATATTTTCTGTATTACTGTATCTGTAATTACAAAACCAATTTTATTTTGAATGATTTTTTTAAAATTTTGAAATTTAATAGAAAAGTGACATGTACTTCTTGACCCCCAGTGTGGTTTCAAAAATGAGTTATTTTAAGCCTAGCCATAGTCACTGCAAGGATCTGTTTTCTTCTTGTTCACCTCTCTCTTGTGGTACAACCCTTTGAAGTCCCAACCCGAAATGGGGCAGGTTTACCAGAGATGCCACTTGGAGAGCTATGGATTCCAGTTCCAGTGTCACCATCCACTCAGGGCTGTCAAAATGTGATTCAGCCTCCCAACTGTTTTCTCTGAAATCAGCAAATGCTCCTAGGGAAAAAGTGGACTTTAATACTAAGCTCACCTCTCTGGGCCTCTGTCCTTTCTTGCATCCTGGCTCAGTAATTTTTTCCTACCTTGTAGCTCAGTGATGCCTTCAAGCAGTTGTCATATTTTGTGCAGATTTTCGAGTTATCTACAGAGGTAGTGTTTGTCCAAATTACCTATATCTCCCTTTATGGAAGCAGAAGTCCATGTCTTGTTTTAAAAAAAAACTTAGAGTTGATTTTTTTATTGCAAAAGAGTATTTCTATAAAGCAGTTTTTCAAATTTCCTTTACAACTCTTTGCATACATTGTAATGATTAGTGTATCTTCTTTCTGGAGCATCTACTATTTATAGCTAGCCAGCGTTAATAATGCATTGTAGATTTGTTGTGATTTCTGCTCTTCAGTACATCATAAGTATAATGCTGATCTATTTTGAAGAAAGAGATCTTTGAAACTTTGTGGGCTAAGAAATGAAAACAAGCAAACAAACAAAAAATGATATCCTCAAGATCTTTGGGAGACTGAATACTTTTGCTGGAAGGAAATTGGCATTCCCCAAAAGGTTCTAATGGTGCATTGCATAGTATAATTCCCTACTTCATTGTTGCAGAGAGATTAAATGATACCTTAAGCCTTATGGCTATTTAATCTGATGTTAGGAACACTGTATTTGTTTTACCAGAAGCATCTTTCTCTCTAATTCAAACTGTATGCAAGCTTGCTTTACTTAGTAGAGCTTGGTCTCTAGTTTGCATTTATGTTCATCATAATACTAATAGAGTTGTGTGACTGAATGTTGTAATATTTGGAAGTGAATTTGCAAGCTGTCTTCAGATTTTGTCTCCAAGCATTTTGTTATTCAAATATCTGAGGGTCCACCATCTATGTGGCACTGTTATTGGTTTGGGGATATAACAGGAAGCAAAACAGACAAAAATCCCTGCTTTCATTGAGTTTGCTGTTGAGTGGAAAGAGATTGATAGACTATAAAGAAAATAAGTAATGCATTTATATATTATATTATAAAATGTTAAGTTCTATATAGAATAATAAAGGCAGAGTAGGGGGAACTAGGATTACTCAGGGAATAGAGAAACATGAATTTTTAAACAGTATGGGCAGGGAAGACCCCTGCTGGGAATGTGATACACATTGTCTGTGCCAGGCAGCCTGCTGAGCATTTTCACATCTTTTGTCTCCTGGTATCTTCACAATGATTATTGTACTTGTTTAGGGTCTCAGTTCTATTTCAGCCTGAGTTCAATGTCCTTTGCCAACAACTCCACTATGTTTACCAGTTTGGATTTGGTGGAGTACTACTGGTCAATGTTAGTTCTTACTGCATACAAAATATTTTTGTAAATGTTGATTTATAAAAGATTAGATGATCAAAGAGATAAGAGAATATTGTTAACTAAGCATCTTGAATACTTGAGGCTTAAAGTTAGTTTTTTAAGTAGGCTTGACTTGCCTTATTAAGAAACTTGTTCAATTATATCTATTCAACCAATCATACAGTCTATGAGCAAAAGGAAGAATTAGGTGGTAATCATTGGTACTGTTTGGGAAGAAGATACCAGTTCTTTTGTGTCTTTTAAGGGTAGTTTTGCTTGTTTTGAAGGCCTTTTTTTAAATGTGAGGTTTAGTTTGATAATCCTAAAAAGGAGGATAGACGTTTTGAACTTTGGCCTCAGCCATGCTGTAACTTCATTTGTTCTGGCAGTTTCAGTGTATTTTAAACTAAACAAAATAATCCTGATAGATATTTTTCAGTGCACTTATTAAGCTCCAAACACCAGTGCTTTTGCTATTTAAATAATAAAGTATAGAGTTAATGATATTATAGTATAAATTTTTTCTTATTTAAGACTATTGAACATTAGAATGTTGGTTCTAAGAAGGTATTCCTAGAAAGTATTGGCCCGTTATGTAAATGGCATAGGTTTCTTTTTTTCTTGTATTAAATATACAGGTGTTTTAATGTAGTCTTAAAATGTGTGTATGTGTGTATGTGTGTGTGTGTTGAATAAAGGGTGACATTAGTGTAGCACTTAAGTTTACCTTTGGTAGTTTCCATGGCATAACAATTATTTTCTTTTGTATAGCTTCCATGTTGTTGCCTCAAAGGGAAATCTTGAGTGTTTGAATGCCATCCTTATACATGGAGTTGATATTACAACCAGTGACACTGCAGGTATGTTTGCTTCCATAGTCAATTACAAAACTAAACAGGATACAAACAGTGTCCAATACTAATACTCTTAATCAGATCTAATGTGATTTAAAAATAGAAGTCCTTAAACTTTCTGTTTTTAAATATTTGAGAAAAAGTTTACTTCTGAGTTGTCATTGTGGGGAGAGGTCAAGTACAGTATAGGGAATTTAGGAGAAAGGATTAGTTGACTAACAAGCAGTTGGAGATCTGAAATCTAGTAGTGTTACAGGATCCTAAAGTCTCAGATTTTGAAGAAACATTAGGGGCGATTTAGTTTATATTCATGTACTATGGAGTATATGAATCCTGTACAGAGTGAGGTCTTTTGGCAGTTGGTTGGACATTTCTTGTGATGGAGAACTAACTGCTTCATAACAACAACAACTTCAACAATAATGATAACAAGAATAGCTGACATTTACGTAACGTTTATATAGCTACACTGCTCAGTGCGTTATATATGTTATCTCATTCCTATCCTCATATCAACCCCTTGAGGTTGTGAGGTACTGAGCTGTTAAGTAACTTGCTCAAGGCCCTTAAGTAGATATGTTGCAGTCATAGTCTGTGTTCTTAACAGTTATGCTTCACCGGGAACCCATTCTGTGTTTGGTTAGCTATATTTATAAAAACAAAATTTTATAGACAGTTGGAATCTCTTTTTTACTTGGTCTTCTGCTTATACTTAGTCATACCTATGTTTGTCCTTTAAAATCTTACAGCATAAGTTTGCACATCAAAGGCAGATCTTTAAGTATCCAAATATAGCTATTGCTTTTCCTCAATGAGAGTTAATTTTCAATTAATCAGGATAACCATTCTCAGTTTTCTGAAAATTTTTTCAACAACAGAAGTTTTAACAGAGAATTAACAGAGAATCTTTTAACAGAGAATTTTTTTTAACAACTTTAATATGTCATCTTATGACTCCATATATGGGCAAATAAATACATTACTGTTAACCAACATTGTGTTGTAGAAATGGAAGGGAGGGAGAGGGAGGCAGAGAGATCACAATTGAGTTGGTGAGGAAAATCTTTACCTAAAAATACATCAAATTCTAAGTTGAATACCAAACTCAATTTACCTGCCACTTTTGAACAAGCAAAGAAATGTATTTGTTGCTTATACTCATACATACTTTCCATTAATGTAGATAAATTATTTTTGTAGAAATTTTGGACTAACCATACCTCTTCACGTCTCTTAAGACTTTGTTTATTGTGCTGATTCCAATTCAAACAGGTATCTTTCTTGTTTTTGACTGTGTTCTTTCTGTTCTGGACATTTTTGCCTAGAGGCTAATCCAGTGACTTTTGCCCTCCCTCCTTCAGTGCATACCAAGCTCAAATGCCTTCCTAAGCTCAGCAGACATTATTTCATATACTGCATCTGAGCATACATTTTGCCGCAATTTAGTTATATTTTGATTTGATTTGTTTTATTATGTTTATCCCTAGAGTTGTCCTATGTTGAGGACAAGGACCTTTTCTTAATTGCTGTAGTGTCTGTTATAATCCAGATATGGATATTTGATAAAAATTTGATCAAAAAAATTTATATTATCTTAACTCCTATTTAATACAGAAGAATATTTAAAATGATCAAATTTCAATTTAGTGCTGTTTAGAGGTATTCGTGACTTAGGTCTTAGCAGGTATGCACCGTTGGTATAATTCATATTTGTATGCTTTAGATCTGATACTTCCTTGATTTTTTTGCTGTCATATGCGGCTGGATTTGGCCTTTGCTTAGGCTTGACATGACATTTTTATGTAATTGAGTTTCTGTAGCATTTTGTTGAACACTAGGGACTGTCACCACTGTTCCTAATTCAACTATCCCCACTCAATGCTATCTCTACTTCATGTGTAAATGTCAGTTATTTTAGTTACTCCTCATGAAGTAAAATGTTTCTAAGAAATTTGTCCGAATGGTAGCAAATTGAAATTTGAAATGATAACTTCTGACTCATTTGTAATTAGAGCATGTTTGGGTATGGCTGAATATGTTGTACCCGTACCTCTTTAAAGACCTGGACTCACTGTGGTTTGTTCTAGAACCTGATTAGTCAGTTACACAGAAGTGATCAGACCCAGGAAAACTTATCCATTTATCTACACTCATACAAAACTAAACGAAAGTTGGAAAGCTAATTTATTTGTTCATCCATGATAAATAGAACATATATTACTACTTTTCTAGTAGAAAAGTCTACTTGTGAAGTCAAATTAGGTTTTAAGTTTATGAGGTTAGAGGGAAATTAAGAGCATTAAAGACTGGAAGTTGGAATAGCCTGGTGAAACCCTTATGTCTTTTACCATCCAATAGAGAAGTATGTGTAAAGGAAAAAAAATAAAATAAAATTAGGAAAAACAGTGTTTGGAGGTAAGATGTTTTCTGCAAGTTTGTTTTTTCCAGTAGTCAGAGTTAACTTTTCAGATTATTTGGTAACCTTTCTTCCCTACTCCCTTTGGCATTTCCTTTAAAATTGCACATTTTAATACAAGTTAAAGGAAAAAAAATAAAATAAAATTAGGAAAAACAGTGTTTGGAGGTAAGATGTTTTCTGCAAGTTTATTTTTTCCAGTAGTCAGAGTTAACTTTTCAGATTATCTAGTAACCTTTCTTCCCTACTCCCTTTGGCATTTCCTTTAAAATTGCACATTTTAATACAAGTTGTATTTGAATAAGTTGTGTGATTTTTCAGAGACACAGTCTCAGAATGAAATCTGAGGTTTTTTTTTTGTCTTTTTGTCTTTTTCCATGTCCGGCAACGGATCTCAACCCTCAGTGTTGCCCCCGCACCGGACCGGGGACCGGCAACGGGATCGCAACCCTCGGTGTTGCTCCCGCGCCTTGCTCAGCCAGTGAGCGGGAACCGGTCTGTATGTGGGATCCGAACCCTCGGGCGGGAGCGCCGCCGCGCTTCCCAAGCGGCGCACTATCCAGTGTGCCACCGGGCCGGCCCTGAAATCTGAGTTTTATGTGAAACATAAAAATTAGTTGGAGAATACCCTTTCTATGACTTATACTTCTTAGCTTTCTCCATTTTCAGTGTCCACACTGCCTATTTGGAAATGCTATTTGAAATCTAGGAATTTATTTCCCTCTGCCTCTCCTCATTCTCTTTTTCTCTTTCTCTCCCTCCCCTCTGCCTTATGCCAGTATTTAATTACTTACTCTGTCTTGGACCCTGCTCTAAGTGCTGGAGATACAGTGGTGAATAGGACACAGTTCTTGCTCTTTATGGACTTGTATGATTATTTTTTCTTCCTACCTTCATTGTTTTATTGTGTACATTATCTCTTATTAAAATTTCAAACTAGGTGAAACAGCTTAGAAACTTAAAGCGTGCTTACAAATTAAGTATCCTGTCAGTTAATTTTGGAAAAAAATAATATTTCTATGAAAATTCATGAATGAAGAACATAATCCTTCACATGTATTTTAAATTATTTCTTTCATAGGGAGAAATGCTCTTCACCTGGCTGCTAAGTATGGACATGCATTATGCCTACAAAAACTTTTACAGGTAGTAGAAGTGGTTAATAGTTTAGCTTTATTATTTTGACTACAATAATAAATGTGTTTTTAATGTGTTTTTGGAATTTGAGATCAAAGAAAATGGTAGGCTAACTTTGACTATTAGCTTATATATTTTTTTCTATCACTTGTTAAGGAATGTGAACAATAAGGAGGAAAAACTCTGAGGGAAGTGAATTGCATAACTCAGTGTATTAAAAATAAATAACAAAGACTTGACCTTCCTGTTGACATTAGCTGGAGACTGGAATTTTCAGTTGTCCCGAATATGACATAAGATAAAGTAATCCAACATGGGATCTATATATTTCTGTATAAACACAGATAACTCAAATTACATAATATTAATATCATTTGATAAACTTTTTAATCAGGCAGTCACAAAATTCTGTGAACTAGTTGCCTGAATTAAGGTTTCAGTCAAACGGTCCAGTCATATATTTCCATAAATATTTTTGCCACTGTGCTTCACAGCAGAACTCATTTGTTTTTCTGATTCAGTGGTTCAAGTTTTAACTCTTGCTGGAAAAACCCCAAACAATAACATATTTTCTATATGGCAGCTATTGTAATGAACCATATGTTTCCTGTTTGGTGGAAAACTGTTAATTTACAATTATGTAATGTTGTTGTATTTGTTTTATGTCACAATATTTAGTGCATTGTCTAATAGTCTTTAGTTTCTTTGATAAGTAGGATATTTTAAGATTAAGTAACAGCTGTTCATTTGAGTCTGGATATTTAATTTTAAAATAAAATTCTCCTGGGTTACTAAGTTTCTATGTTTTAACAGTACAATTGTCCCACTGAACATGCAGACCTGCAGGGAAGAACTGCACTTCATGATGCAGGTAAAGTAAAAGTTTCTCTTGGCCACAAACAAATATTCATTAAAAGTCTAGTCATTTAAATTAATTTCTGGGGTTTTAACATGTATATGTTTGTATAATTCATGGAGAAACACAGAATACTAAAAAGTTTTTGTGTACTCAAATTTGAAATTTATTAGATTGTGCAGCTTAAAAAGATTCATATAACCAGTATTTACAGGCTAGTCAGTTTGTTGGATACTAAAGGTACAAAGATAAGTAAACCATAATCCTGCTCTCAGGGAGCTTCAAGTACTGTGTGTGTGTGTGTTTATGTTTGGAATTGGTAGGAGAAATGGGAAGGATGTGAGTCTGCAGGTTTGGATAAAAAAAAAAAAAAAGAAAAAAAAGGAAGGAGGAAGACTTCTCTTTCTTAAAAACTATGTTTACCTAATCAACATGGCTGAACTTCATTTTTCTTATTTGCAAAATGACGTTAATAATACTACTGCAGGGGCCGGCCCGGTGGCGCACTGCTACAGTGCGCTGTTTGGGAGTGCGGTGGTGCTCCCGCTGAGGGTTCGGATCCCACATACAGACCGGTTCCCGCTCACTGGCTGAGCGAGGTGCGGACGCGACACCGAGGGTTGCAATCCCGTTGCCGGTCCCGGTCCGGTATGGGCGCGACACTGAGGGTTGCGATCCGTTGCCGGACACGAAAAAAGACAAAAAAGACAAAAAATAATAATAATACTGCAATAAGTAGTTATAATTAAATCATAAATAGTGCCTGGCGTATATTATTTCCTTAATTAATGGTGGTAGTGGTTTTCATTTAGGGATGTCATAGATTTATGCTAGTAATTTTACAGATTTTATTAATCATAATTGTGTGTCTAAATTTATCTGCATTATTCTTTAGGTATCTTAAAGTACTTTGAAAAAAGTTAGATATTTAGGTATTTTTGGAATGTAAGATAGCCAGACCTCTTGTCTGACTCTTCTAAGTCTGAATTTCCTGCAGTTTGCTAGAGGGCTAAAGGGAAGAAAACAATCTACCTTCTCTTTTCATTTATATGAAATATCTGCAGTAGTTTAAAGTGGTCTGCATTAAATATGTATTATAGTTAAAATTTCCTTCAAATTTTTGTACCTTACTTTTCTTTTAGTTTTTTCTTTTTGCATTTTATGTGCTCTTATGATAATTTAATTCCTCACACAATGCATTTTTTCTCTTTTATTTTTGTATAGAATAGTATTATTTGCAAAGCATTTTTACATCCACTACCAGTTGAGGCTCACAATGACCTAGAGGTTACTATAGATTTTATTATCCTTGTATTTAAAACTGGTACAACTTGAAATCTTAATATTTGTTCAGTAGATGTATTAGGATGGAGACTAAGTTGCTATAACAAAAGAACTCCAATATCAGCTGCTTATTAAAATAATTGATGAGTGGTGTAGTTTGACAGGTGACTCATGGCCATTTGTGTGCTCCACTTGTTGCTCCACTTTCTTCTGGGTATCTTCCTCAACTACATGGTTGAAGCAGAGTTGAGTCATATTTGTGTTCTAGCTAGCAGGAAGGGGAAAGAGAGCTCAGAGGAGCATATGTCCTAAGTCTAAGGCCCAGACTTGGAAATGGGAGATAACCCTTCATTCATATTCCGCTGATCAGACAAAGTCAGTTGGCTATATTTATCTGCACAGGAAGCTCATAAATGTACTCTCGAGGTGACTAGTCATGTCCCAGCTACTGCACAGTAGAAGAAGGGAAGAACAGATTTTTGTTAAAAATTGTACTTTCTTCTGCAGTTCAGACCTCTGGCCTTTCACGTATTCCTGTAGTACCTGCTTCCCATACATAGAACCCTTCATCTCTTCTCCAAGGAAGAGGACCTATAAACCAATCCAGTTACTTCATCTAGCTTGAAGTCTAGAATTTCTGGGTGATACGTAGTTTTCTCTTTTTGTCTCTGAGGTGGCTCTTCATGGTCCAGCAATCTGTAACTCATAGAGAAGACATCTGCTCCTTAAAATATATAGTGATGGAGCCAGAACAGGATAAGTGAAATAAAGACTCCCATTCAGAAAGGGGAGAACAGCAAACACACAGTGGTCACAAGTTAATAACATATATCAAATCTTGCTGAGTAAAACTTTCAAAGACTTCTTACTGAGGTCTTGAAGTAAATTTCTTGGGTAGCTCCTCTGGATGCTATCTCACCCCGCCCCGGCCCCCTTCCATTTCTGATTTCTGGAAGAAATCCCTTATGCGTTGTGCTTTATGGCTCCTGGCTTTGCCTTCTGGGAGGGTCTTAACTTGTCTATTATCCTCCAAGGCCACAGATACTTTGGATATTGGTGAATTTGCCCTCTGTGAAGGCAGTTTAAGGGCTAGAACAATCATGAGTTTTAGCCAACTGAGCTTTTGGGGTTTTGAATAGTACAACCTTAGTAGGTTTCTGGTCTGTTTGTTGCCAGCCACTTCCATATGCCAAAAAGCATCTACAGAGTTGTTTTCTGGGCCTATGGTTCTTAACTTTCCTTTAGTTCTTATCTTTATTTCTTTTTTTTTTTTTTTGACCAGTAAGGGGATTGCAACCCTCAGCACGGTGTGGTCTGCACCATGCTCAGCTAGTGAGAGCACCAGCCATCCTTATATAGGATCTGAACCCACGGCCTTGGTGCTACCAGTGCTGCATTCTCCCGAGTGAGCAACGGGGCCGGCCCCTTATCTTTATTTCTTGACTCAGGATTTCTACCTCATTTTGATGGTTACTACTTCAAAGCCATCTGAAATAATAGTCTTGGATGAGATTATAACATCCTCAATTTAATCTTTATTCCAGGACTTGATTTTTTTTTTTTCTTCTTTTTCTTTTTTCCTTATTGGAAGGTCTTTGGGAAAAGTTGTGAGCAACAACAGTTTTATAACCTATTGTTTGGTATAGAGAAACAATAGGCTTTACCACCCGTGTGAGGCCCCAGATATCTGCATACTCTGTTCACAAACTGGCTGATTCTTGCTTGAGGGTATCTCTTTCCTATGTACCTTGTTAGAAACTGTAAACAGCTGCTAATATGCACAAACATGTACTGGCTCTTTTCTATTGCTTTGCCTAGAAAGGCTTCATAATCATATGGTTTATCTTCTAAATTATCACAGATGATAACTTTATCAAATGTTTTGACACAGCATAAGAATAATCACCAGATTTTTAGCCTGAAATATGTTTACTCACCACCCATTACCAAACTACTAAACCAGTACAGTATATTTTAGGTATTGTTACAGCATTACTTCACTGCTGACAGCAATTTTTTGTCTTAGGGCCAAGACTAGACTGCTCTAACAAAGAGATCATAAAATAACATTGGCTTTTAAAAAAGTACAGAATTTATTTCTTTCATGTCATAGTCCTCATGTTCAGATTGGCTGTTACCTCTGCTCCATAGGGTCATTCAGGGACTCAGTTTTCTTCCATTTTGCAGTCATCTTTTAGGGTATTGTCCTCAACTTTAAGGCTGAAGCTGGTAGCAGGCACCTCTGTGTTGCTACTCACAGGAAGGGAAAAGATTATGGAGGAATGCATAACCAGTCTTTTAAGGCTGAGACTTGGAAGAGGCACACATTATTCCTGTCAGATTCCATTGGCAAGATGTAAGTCATACGGCTCCAACTAGCTGCAAGGAAGTTGGGAAATGTGGTCTCTAGGTGGCCACTGTGTACCCAGTACTTTATTACCATGGAAGAAAGAGTGATCAGAGTTTGGCGAACATCTAACATTCTACACCATCTAGTACCTTAATACTGATTTTATATGTTCAATATATTATAACTCTGGTATTTATTATGCTTTATATATTTTCATTCTTATTTATAACTGGGTGTGAGTGGTTCTTAAATTTATAGTTCTTGAATTAATATAATCAGGTTCAGTTTATCTTCTTTTTAATTATGTATTTCATATAAAAGATTTGCTGAATCAGAAACATGAGAAATGAAAATTTACTTGATTTTCTTATGGGTTTGGTTTAATTCTAATGAATTTCACCAAGAAAAAGAGAATGCTGACTTCATCAGTACTTTTTGTTGCTAATAATTTATATCAACTCATAAAGCTTTAAAAAAAATTCATGGGAATTATAAAACAATCCTGTTTTATGAATTTCACAATAACTTTTTTCTAATACAGATATTAACTCTAGTGTTGGTCAAAAAGAAGCATAATGTCATCTTATAATTTTTAGCAAAATGACTCCACTTTACATCATTAAGGGCAGACATTGCAATCTCCACTTTTAAAAGGAAATATGAATTGTTTGATTTGAACTTTATTTACTGTGAGTGTCTGTTAAAAATGAATATAATTCTTTAAAAAAACTGAGCTAACACTTCAAGGATCAAGTCACTTACAGCTATGTTTAAAAATATACTGTACATAGAACATTTAAGTTTTATCTGTGTTTACCCTTACAATAGTAGTACATACTTGTTTTCTACAAGGATGACAATATTTCTTGGTCCTAAGAAGTTATAAAAAATTTATAAGATGATCTTTTCTAATCCATTTTCAGATAGAAAATGATACTTAAAATGTTAAACTAAGAGTGAAGGATGTGAAGCTTACTAGTTTAGAAATTGAAAAATGTATGCTTCTTATGGACCTAGAAGTACACCATGTGTCTTGCCAACAGATGTTCACCATTTATCATTTTCCTTTGTTCCTAAAAGCAATGGCAGACTGTCCTTCTAGCATACAGCTGCTTTGCGACCATGGGGCCTCTGTGAATGCCAAAGATGTAGTAAGTCAGTTTATGTTTATTCTTATTTCAACTTGTGATTCTAACTTTTTTGGGGGAGATTTTTTGTCTTAATGCTGTTTTATTTTTCCTGTTGCTTAGGATGGGCGAACACCACTTGTTCTGGCTACTCAGATGTGTAGGCCAACAATATGTCAGCTGCTGATTGATAGAGGAGCGGATATTAATTCCAGAGACAAACAAAACAGGTAATTCTTTTATCATGGCTCTTCCAGATACCAGCTGGATGCAGTGATTATGAAACTCTGCTGCTGTGACTTGGCCTTTCTATCCCCCTTGGTTCTCTCCTTCCTTGACTTGTTTTTCCTTGGAATTAGCATCCACATCTCATTTTTCTTCAGAGTCTGCTGAAGAAGGAAGGAGAGAGAAATAGAGGAAGATGACAGGGTACATGTTGAATAGAAGCAGTGATTCGGGCCTATGTTTGGGTCAAAGAACTGAAGGAAAGAGGAATTATATTTCAGTTATTTTAAGCTTTAAAAAAAATCTTTAATGAAATGGGCACAAATAAGATATAAATGAGAAGAATATAAAAATTACATGAATAGTCTACTTCTTAATTAGTGAATCTTTTGAGAGTAAAGTGGTTCTTGGGTGTCCTGGAGCTTGACATGTTTCAGTATAGCCTTCTCCTAAACAGTCCATTTCTGTATACCAAGATTGCCTTAGTTTGTTTTTGCTTTTGTATTTGATGTTATTTTAGTTGGTGTGCTCTAATAATTTCTATCCATAATTTTCCCTTTCTTCTTCTCTAAGTCTAGTGTATCATGATGCTTACTATATTATAATCCTAATGTTTATGGTCACAAAGTATCTGAAATACATCCCCTCCATTAGTTGAAGTATTGTAATAACATATAACTAAAATTTCTGAGATTTTGTAGAATTGTTGGTTTCTTTTGATTTAATTTTATTCTTCTAAACACATGTCCTATTGTTTATAGTTAATTAAAAGTAGATATGTATAATAAAATAGTCTTTAGATGTCAGATTGTACAGCTCTAATTATTTTTATTGTTTAGACATCTCAAAGGAGGACATTCTTTTCTTTTTTAAATGTGAATGTGTTATTTTTGTTTTTTAATTTATTTTTTAAAGAAAATGTAGTTTTATTAATATTATTTTCTTGCATTCTAGAATATTGTTGCTGAGCATTTGGGGAGTAGGGAGGGAGGGAGAGGGGGAAAGGGAAAGGAAATGTGATGGAAGCAGGAGGAAGGAGGAGGGGTGGGATTGAGGTCTGTGGCACCCCCCTCATTCCCACAGGGGAGACTGGGGGATTTCTAGCAGTGGCTTGGTCATTGCCAGGCTGGACACAGATGTCAGGGGTGTGTGGCAAAAGCCCTTGCCCCCCCACCACTCCATCTTGGGAATCTGGAGCCCTTCTTGCTGAGGCCTGGTGGTGGTTGCTAGGCTGGCTGCTCGTGGCAGATGTCAGGGGTGTGTGGCAAAAGCCCTTGCCCCCCCACCACTCCAGCTTGGGAATCTGGAGCCCTTCTTGCTGAGGCCTGGTGGTGGTTGCTAGGCTGGCTGCTCGTGTTGGGCAGGCATGGCCAAGGCCCTTGGCCCCCCACCACCCTGGCTCAGGAGAGCCTGGAGCACTTCCTGCGGTGGCTGGGTAGTTGCCACTGGTCTGGCTGCAGGTGCTGGGGTGGGGGGGGGCGCGTGGCTGAGGGCCTTGGCCCCACACTGCCCTGGCTCAGGAGAGCCTGGGGCACTTCCTGTGGTGGCTTGGTGGTCCTCGCTGGGCTGGCTGCGGGTGTTGGGGGGGCATGGCAGAAGCCCTTGGCCTCCCACTGCCACAGCTTGGGAGAGCCCAGGGTGCTTCCTGTGGTGGCTCAGTGGTGCTGCTGGGCTTTCTGCATGTGTCGGTGGGGGGGGGCCTGGATGAGGCCCCCTACTGCCCTGTCTCAGGAAAGCTCGGGGCACTTCCTGCAGTGGCTCAGTGGTTGCTGCTGGGCTTGTGTCTGGAGGGTGTGGCTGAGGCCTGAGGCCCCCCACCACCCTGGTCAGATCCTGGGGCACTTCCTACAGCTGCTTGGTGGCTGCTGCTGTGCTGGCTGCATGTGTCACGTTGGTATGGTTGAAGCCCTTGTTCCCCACTCTTGGGACTGGTTGTGGGTGTTGGGGGGCATGGCTAAGGCCCACAGACCTCTTCCCTTTCTGCCTTGGTAGCCCAGGGGACTTCCAGTTATTCTAGGTGTTATAGGTGTTCTTTGGTGAAATGAGACCTTTACTAGTTAATATCAAACTTAGTCTCTGGTTGCGGGTACTTCGTTTTTTCTTTCAGTTCTGTTGGATTATTTGCTGTTCCACTACTTAAACTCTGCATTGGAACTAATTTGTTGTCCTTTGCTTACTTTTAAGATGGGGAACTTCCTGTGGGGACCAGTAATTGAGCTGTGTGGTTTGGCTAAATTGCTGCTTTGCTGCTGATTCCCTAGGGAAGGCTTCTTGTACAGCTCAGATTTTAATGGGTGGTCTTATAGGTACTTCCAGCTCTCGTGTGATCTGGTGCACCTGGGTTGGATAGAAACTCTGGTCTGGGCCTGAGTCTTTTCATCAAACTGCACCCCATGCAATTTTATATTCCTGACCAGTCTCCTCTGAGTGGTCCTATGCTGATTGGGGTGCAGATCAGCTGTCCTTGCTGTGCCTCACTGTTCCCCCAGTGGGCCTGTCTCCCCCACCGCCTGTGCTACAAACACTTCCCATTGGACAGGCCATGCTTTGGTCCCTTGCAGTGACTCCCTGGCCTCTGAGTGACTCCTTTTTTTCAGTTGTTGTGGCTCCTCACTCCTATGTGGGTCCACGGAAACCCTATTAGTGGTCTCACTGGCCTGGGGGCCACCAAGGCCCTCTTCTCCCCTGCCGCCTCCAAGCAACTTCATCTGAAGGGCACAGCTGTGGCTTTTGCCGCCTCCTGCTCCATGCTCTCAGCAGCACCAACCTGGAAGTGGCCAGGGCTCGAAATGTTTGGAGTGTTTTTTTCTTTCTTTCATCGTGGCTTCTCCTGCCTTCATGCACTCCATAGGTCTTTCCTTTTCTTCCCCTCAGCTCTGGCAGACCCAGCTTGGCTGTTGTTGCTTTTTTATAGTTGTAAATTGGTTGATTTGTGGGAGAGAGTGATGCTAGGGACCGTCTATTCCCCCATCTTAACCAGAAGTCGGAGGACATTCTTAAGCAATTAAATCGTTAAAGTGATTATTAAGAAAATGGCATTTTTATATTTATTTTTGCAGATACCATAATCTGATTCCAAGCATGACTAAAAAATTTTGCTTTTAAAATTAAGTTTTAGGATCAGAGAGGGATGATTTGGTTGATTTGCATATAATGCCTTATGATTTTTATAGATCTTAATATTTTTCAAAGCACTTTTTTCTATGTTTTTTCATTGGAAGTTCATAAAAATCCACTGAGGTATGACAATATATGTTGTATAGACTAGATAGCAGATGGTTTTAAAAATAAATTATAACCTTAGTCTGACACTCTGTAGGTAAGTTTTTTTCCCCCAGTGTTATCTGTAGCATTTTTTTCACTTAATAACAAACACTTTGTTAATGCCTGTTATGTATAGAATTTATACCAGCATCTATGGGGAGGGGTAGGCAGGGATATAAGAAACAGCATACACAGCAGAGCATGAATTATTTTCCTTTTGAAATCCAATATTCACTATAGAAGATAGAATTAAATATGAGATGTCACTTTATTTTATGAGGTGTTGGTTCCCTTAGCAGTAAAAATACGGGATTGGACAAAATAATTTCTAGGGTCCTTCTAAATTTCCGTAATTTGTTTTGTTTCATGATTACTATTCTCTTATATACTGTGAAATGTTTAAGTGCTGATGGTTCTGTCATGGCAGGTGAAAGCAATGGTTCATGTTAGCACGGAGTTGAGGGAAATTTATTTGAGACAAATTTTATTTGATTTTTACATTTATTTTAACTTCTCAATATACATTGTAATTGATTTTCGTGACCCTTTACCTTTCCTTTCTCCCCCTCCCCCCCAACATCATATCTGTTCAGTAGTCTTAGCAAGTTCAAGGAATTGTGACTGTTATGTCCTCTTCCCCCTCCCCCTTTGTTTGTGTATTTATTTATTTATTTATTTATAGCTCCCACAAATAAGTGAGAACATGTGGTATTTCTCTTTCTGTGTCTTACTTGTTTCACTTAATATAATTTTCTCTAAGTCCATCCATGTTGTTGCGAATGGTAGTATTTCATTCTTTTTTATAGCAGAGTAGAATTCCATTGTGTAAATATACCACAGTTTCCTTATCCACTCATCTGATGATGGACATTTGGGCTGGTTCCAAGTCTTGGCTATTGTAAATAGTGCTGCAGTAAACATCAGAGTACAGGTATCCCTTCGGCATAATGATTTCCATTCCTCTGGGTATATTCCCAGCAGTGAAATAGCTGGGTCATATGGTAGATCTATCTGTAATTGTTTGAGGAACCTCCATACCATTTTTCATAAAGGCTGCCTTTGAGGAGACAAATTTTAAATGAAGTCCAAAGACATGAAGGTCTCCAGGTAGGAGGGTCAAAGCTCTTCTAAGCAGGGACATAAGGAACAGATTGATTCTTCTCTGGGAAGAGAAGGGATTTGTAGGGGAAGTTTGCATAATAGGGTTCAGTTCATGAAGGAACTTGAACAGATGTGTTTTGAGAAGATGGGGTGACAGTTTCAGCTGTGGAAGATTTTTGTGGTGATTTTTTTCTTGTAGGACATTGAAGAACTGGAATAAATAAGGTTAGTTTGGTAGTAGAACTAATTAAATTATAGAAGGTGATATAAGATTTTAGCTCTGCAAACTAAGACAGCAGATGTTTTTATAAATGCAATGTAGTTAAAATATAAGATAATATAAAGTAAAATTTGCATCTGTTACAAATATGACTTCTTAAAGTAGAATCTGTTCTTTAAGAAGGGGGCTGTTGGCAGAACATTTCTGAAATATTTTCTTGGATTCTTTTCAAAGTCTTTTATTCTTCCGTTTTCCCTCTTAGAACTGCTCTCATGCTAGGTTGTGAGTATGGCTGCAGAGATGCGGTAGAAGTCTTAATCAAAAATGGTGCCGATGTAAGCTTGCTGGATGCCCTTGGCCACGATAGTTCTTACTATGCAAGAATTGGTGACAATCTGGACATTCTAACCTTATTGAAGACTGCATTGGAAAATACTAACAAAGGTACTAGCAGTTTTCTGTAACTAGAAAAGTCCAGGTTAGGGCAGGCCAGTTAGCTCAAATGGTTATAGTGCAGCCTTGTAACAAACACCAAGGCCAAGGGTTCAGATTCCCGTACTGGCCAGCTGCCAAAAATAAAGAGCTGCTTTTAAAAGACTTAGAGAGTAGAACAACAGTTCGTAAGAAGAAAAATATTCTTCACTGATAAATAGTATTGGTTCATTTCCTTCCATACCATGGATTTGCTTACTTATATTACAGTCACTTGTTTTGAGCCAGTGTATGTTGCACATTGTCTAGTTTATCAAGTGATCACTAATACATTGTGGAACAATTTACGAACTGAGGAGGAAGAGTCAATTCAAGTGTTTAACTAAATTTTTTTTTGATGAAGAGGGGTGAAGCTCCTTAACTTTTATACTTACAAAGTTTTAAAGAAAGAATCATCATTTAAATGTGTTTGTAAAATATTCAGCTGATATTTATCAAATGCCTGTGATAAGTATTTTTCTGTGTTTATTAAAGGAAAATTGGAAAATACAGAAAAGCACAATGAGTAAAGTTAGTTACTCATCCTACCGTGGAAGAGCCTCTATCAATGTTTTGAAGAATATACTTTCAGTGTTTTTCCTATGCATAAAATTGAGGTCACTAGTAATACTGAGTTGTAGCTTACTTTATGTAATATATTTTGAAGGCTTTACACTCATAAATATTTTTTCTACAGTATGATTTTTATTGATGTGTAAGCTTCCATTTATTTAAACTTCATTTAATGAAGGAATTTTTTATAGGTGGTGTTTATTTACAGTTTTTTTTTACTAATACAAATAACAATGTAGTGACTGTCCTTATATGTAAATATTTTAACATATTTTTATTATCCCTTTAGGATCAATTCCTAGAAATTGAATCACTGATTCAGGACTTGCACATTTCTTTCAGCTTTTGGCATATATTGACAAGTTGCCTTCTAATTTAGGAGTGTTTTAAATTTCCCATTTTTTTTTACCTGCCTCCCCTCCCTAGCATTGATTATTATCTACCTGAATATTTTCATATTAAAAAAAAAACTTTGCTAATTTGGTAGGCAAAAATGGTATTTAATAATACCATTTCTATTACCATAATAAGTTTTGGAAATAAAACTAAAAATTAGTAAGCTTTAGAGGAAACTCTAAAATGTATTTATTTAATATTGACTTAATTATATAGCTAAGAAATTCATACCTACCCAAGTTAACCTGCTGTTTCATTGTTTTTCTTTATCTCTTTAAATTTTTAGGGAGAGAACTTTGGAAGAAAGGACCATCTTTGCAACAGGTAGATATTAATTTTAATTTTTAAAAATTATATGTATTGTGCAATTTAAGTAAAGTGCTTAGTAAAACTAGTTAATGATTATGCATAACTTTTTTGAGTTCAAATGCATGCTGTCTCTCTCCTCAGTTAATTATGCCCATTTAGAACCTAGGTATTAAGACTATAAGGTCCTTTCAAGATACTATCACTCAGTTTGAGACAATGGATCTTAATTATAACAGATGTCTCCAATGGGAAATAAAAAACCTTCTAACTGGGGCCCTGAACATCCAACCATTTCAAGTATGAGATATTACACTTTGTTGAGATTCTTAAATGATGAATTTTAGCCTGGCAGATCATATACAGTTTCCCCCTCTTCTCCTTTCATAACAGAGTGAAATATTTATTGTTATGGGGAAATTCCTTCAATACAATAGGATATGAAGAAAACAGAGTTTAAAACTGATTATATATTATGTTCAATGCTACTGTTAACATTTTTCAGTCTTTTTTTCTGTGTGTATTTGAGGACTTTAAACATAACATAATACATGAAATAATTCATACCTTATACTAATTTTGTTATCATATCACTATTTAAACCCTGGTGTTGTGTCCCAGTTTGAGTAAATATCTTGTTTTCTTCTCATCTCTTTGAGTTCAAGTAAGTGAGGTTGGTTTACAGCACTCTGGCTCAAAAGCTAGTGTAGGCAGCTTTCCTCTTCTGCTGGCTGTTCCTTTTCAGGCTTACAGCTATTCTCTAGTGAGAGGAGCCTGAGCACTCTCAAACCCTGAAGAGAAAGTAATCAGGCACCTTCTGAGCAATTCTGATCATTATTCTGCATCATTTCTCTACCTCTCACCTGAATCAGAAAACTATATTAAAGCTTATTTTTCTTTTCAATCTATCAGAATGAAGTAATACATTCATGCATGAGTCATGTCTGTTGACATGATTTTTCTTATCTGGAGCAACCGTTTCAAACTTCTCCTCTGTTCCTCAGTAACCTAAGTAGGAGTATAGCTAAATAAAATGTGCATTGTTATGTCTGTATCAGCTATCTCACAAAGAATCAGAGAAAAATGACTTCTGACATATACAGATACTTAAAATAAAGAATTATTGAATTTTAATATGGGAATGGTACCTTTCTCAGTGCTCCAGTGGTTATCTAAGTGAATACAAGGAACAATGCTCCTAATTCCTGTTTTTCCATTATTTATTGAATATCTGCTGGAAATAGGATTTGTTCTGGTGCATGTAATCCCTATTATCAAGAAACCTACAGTATAGTTGTAAAAGTAAGACTTATTCAGTTGTTTGTTCAACACATATCTGTTAAACACTTAACAATGTGCCAATTTCTGTTCTGTGTGCTGGGGGTATTGCTGTGTATGAAGTCCCTGCCCTCGTGGAGCTCCCAACTTAGTGAGAGAGATGGACAGTAAGCCAATGAATATTTAGTATCATAGCAGATGCTGTGAAGAAAAACAAGCAGGAGTAAGGGATGAAGAAGGAGAGGGTAGGGACTTTGTGAGAGAAGCATCATAGGCCCAGGGAAGGGCAAGTACCAGGTGAGCATGTCTGTGGGTTAATAGAAGGCCAGTGTGACAGGAGTGACGTGCATATGTGGAGGGAGCAGGAGAAGATACTAGGAAAGTAACTGGGTGCCAAATTAAGAAGGACCTTGTATGGAAAGGACTTTGGATATGTATCCACCAATAACTAACAGATAGCAGAAGGCAGGATGTGAGCCCCCAGTCAGTGGCGCATGTGATCACTGCTATGTAGCCAGAGGTACCAGAGAAATTCTTTTAGTGTGCTGATAAGGCTTTGCCAGGAAGATGGATCTACAAGGATAGGGTTGCTAGAGTATGTCTGAGATGGAGTGGGGTGGAGAATGGAGGCAGTGGGTAAGGATTCTGAAGGGAAGGCCGGGAAGGAAAGTGGTGTAATGAGGTGGGCTGTGAAAAGACATCACATTCCACCTGAAGAACAATTCTTTGATAGAAGGAATGATGCTAGAAATGTATTTTGGGCCAAATTGTGGGGTATAGATTATCTTTATAATGGTAACTGCTCCTTTAATTCTAGATCCAAACTCATTAGAATGTTTGTTTAAGAACTTGGTTAAATAAAACTAAACAAGTGATACAAAACATGAAAAAATTATCTTGGAGAATTAAAGCAGTACCTTTTTTTAATTCTCAAAAAGGAAGGAAGAAATAGCTTTCTAAATTAGTTATTGTGTAGATTTAATCAATAAAGAGGAGGTTATTTGTTCTCTTGTTTAATAATTGTGTTGTGTTTTTGTTAAAGCAAATCTCTAAGCTGGAATAACAATATATACCCAACCAAGTTATTTAGAGGTCTTTTCTGTTTCTCAGGTCACAGGACTCTCTGTCTCTTCCTCACCACACCTCTTGATATTTTATTTGAGCAGTGCTTAGAGAAATAAATAATTTCCATATTGTCTTTCAGAATTAATATGACTTCCCCTTCCCCCTCCTTTTTAAAAAAATTTTACAAAAACTGAACTCTTCCTTTGGGAGTGGTTGGCAATTCTTTATAACACAAAATTTTGTCTTCTGTCTAGTACAAATTCTCCTTTTAAAAACTTGTGACTTTAGTTAAAATGTATACTTAACAATAAGTACTTTAAATTTTGTTATTATTTAATATTTAAAAAATACACGAGGTCTTCAAAAAGTTCATGGAAGGATCTGTATTATCTTTTAATTCTATTTTTCCATGAACTTTTTGAAGTGCCTTCCTATATACTTGATTTATTTAAAAACCTATATTCTTAAATATGCTTTCCATTTTGAGGTTTTACGTGGAAATACTGCCACCTTGTGTATGTGCAACAAAATTTAATGTTGGATAAATTGAAAATCACTAATTGGGTGTATTACCTATTGAGGAAAATATACTTTTCTATATTCCTGTATTTGCTAACCTGTGCTTTCTCATGTTTTACCAAAGCGAAATTTGACACACATGCAGGATGAAGTAAACATGAAATCAAATCAGAGGGAGCATCAAAATATTCAGGTAAGTAGAAAAGAAAGTTTGTTATCTTTCTTTAATAAGAATTCCAGTGTTGTTTGTAGTGGGATGAGGGGAGAAGACAGGCAGTAAGAGAGTGGGAGAAGTGGGCGAATGAGTGGGGGGAAAGGAAGGGAAATTTGTTACGGTTTGTGATTCTATTTTCTTGCCCAATCCCTTCTAAAAGAATTGACTTGTTATGAATGTTTGGGTCTGTATTATGTAATTGTTATATAACATTAAAAATATGGCCTAGAAAGTATTGTTTTAATATATATTAGAAAAAGCAAATAATTTAACAACTTTATATAATTCTTTGTTGATTTAAATATGTCTGTTTTGTGATGTAAACCGTACATTTGTGTTCATTTTGGAAAATTAGTGATAAAAGTGATGGTCATTAATGTAAATAAAATAAAATCTGAACTTTTTCTTAAAATATTTTTTATTTTGATTAAGAAAAATAATTTTGTTAAACTAACCATGCAGTGCTTTTTACCTTTAATGTTGGTCAAAGTTTAAAAAAAAATTATTACGTGGGTTATATTGTAGGAAGGAACCATAATTAAATAATTTATTTTATGATTGGAACGCCATTAAATTATAAATTGAATAGCTGTTTTTAATATAGTAAAAAAAATCGTTTTATTTGGGTTTTCTTAGTTTACTATGTATTTTTTATGTTTTATCAGAGCATTGAAATGATTAATTTAACAAAAAGCATTAGAATAGTCTCATAAACTTGGGAGGTTTTAAGCAAAAGTTAAAATGGCATATTCTTCTGCTATTTTCTTTTTCCAGGTGATGCTTTTATTTTTTCTTTATTGGAATAGTGATATTTTGCTCTCTTATATATACTTGTATTTATTATATATCATAGAATAGTAATTTTCTATATTATTTCTGATGTATAGATTTTGTCATTTGAGTATCATTGAAATTATTTTTATATATGTGTATATCTGTATGATAGCGAACTGCTTTTTAAAATTTCTTTTGTATGAATTGCTCTTTTTAAGATTGTTCTAGCACCTGTTACCTTTATTATTTTAGGATCTGGAGATTGAAAATGAAGATTTGAAAGAGAGGTTGAGAAAAATTCAGCAAGAACAAAGAATACTATTGGATAAAGTCAATGGTTTACAATTACAGCTGAATGAGGTAAATAATCTGCATAAAGAAAATACCCAAGAACTCTTTTATTACCAATAATCGTCATCAATAACATTGTTAATGATCACTTATCAGATCAAGTCATGGTGCTGGGTGCTAAAGGAGGTAAAATTACGTCATTGCCCTTGAGGAGAGTTATATCTCACGAGGGACTTGGCCCTTTACATAAAACTTTCAGTGTCATATAAAAAGTAGCGTATGCCAACTAACAGGTAAGGACAGGGTAAGAGACATTCAGGGGAGAGAGGAGAGATCACTGTGGGCTGCTACTTCTGAGAGGGCACTTCCTATAGGAGATGGTATTTCCTTTGAATTTTGAAGGAAGCAAGAGGGAATCAGAGGGCATTCCAGAGAACATTGTTATGAGTAGAATCCCTGAAGCAGTAATCTGTATTGTATTCTCTGTTGTGTAAACAATTGGAAATAAAAGAAATATCCATAAATTGTTACTTTTAGAGTTAAAGGAGAAAATATATGAAATCTAGTATAATCCATTCACTCCTTAAATACAAATTTTATCATGCACATTACATGTCACAGGTGAAATCTTGTGAGATATTTACATTTCAAAAGTAAGAAGTAAACACATGATTGGTACAGCTGTGTCCTTTTGGTCCTAATTTTTTCTATCACTTTAATATCTTGCTATCTATTTTAGATTTTCCTAAAACTGAATGTATCACCAAACAAATTCATTATCTTATCCTTAAATGAATGATCCCCCCTTTTTTTTCTAAGAGCACAACCACTATCTTTAGTACCTGAGCTAAGCTTACAGTCATCTTTGAGTCTTTCTTTTCCTACTCCTTCTCCCCCATATGTTGATTTAGTTGCCTTATTTAGTCACTGAGATTAAAATTGTGACAGGAAAAACTCTAGATTGATTATACTTGAAGAACAAATTAGTAAACTGCTAGATAGTGTTACATATTCATCCAGATGTAGCACTATGAGAAAAAGTCATTAAAATTTGCCAATGAGAAGAAAATAGAGATAATTTTTGATAATTTTCAAGAATTGAAGAAAAAGATGATTTCAGATGACAGTACACTCTGAGTACCAAGCTGGATAAATAAAAATACAGACCTATTAGATACCACATTGTGGAACTATACTCTGTTAGATTTAAAGAGAGGATCTTAAAAGTAGTTAGAAAGGAAAGGCAGACTGACAGGAGAATTTATATTGGCAAAAAGAAAAGACAATCATATCTTTAAAATACTAGAAAAATGAGCCTTCAACCTAGACTTTTATTCCCAAACAATCATTTAAGAGTTAGGGCAAAATAAAGACACTTTCAGACTCTCAAAGACTTAGATAATTTGCCACCCATAGACCCTCAGGAAAAGAACTGCTAAACAATGTATTTCAGCATGAAGAAACCTAAACACAGAGGAGAGAGATGAGATATAAGAAACACTGGTGAGCCCAGAAATTGATAAAATATGTTGGTAAAATTAAATATTCACTATAAAAATTAAATACCATCTTTGGTATGGTTGAAGGTAGCGGTAACTTCTAGGTTAAAGTAATAGTTCTAACACATGCATTTACTTTCTCTTTTATTCACATCCACACTAAAAGGATGGCAAAGGGTCATTTCAAAAGCATCCTTCAGGTCAAACAGAGGGATGGTGTATTAGTCTGTTTCTGTTGCTTATAACAAAGTACATGGAACTGGGTATTTTACAAAGAAAACTTTGTAATTGCTTACAGTTTCTGGGGCTGGGAAGGCTGAAGTCCAGGGAATGCATCTGGTGAGAGAGAGCCTTGGTGGTGGCGACAGTGACAGTAGTGTATCACATTGCAAAAATGATGGAGTAGAGAGAGACTAATCTCTCGTGCTTTTCTTTTAAAGCCCTTAGAACCATGCCCATGACCACCATTTTTAATCCATTCACTATGGCATGGTCCTACAATCTAATCACCTCTTCAAGGCCCTATCTTTCAGTTATCATAATAGGATTTCCCACCTTCAACAGTTACAGTGGGAGTTAAGTTTTGGGGGGACATGCAACTCAAGGCAGATGGAAGCCACAGTAACAAAATGTTGAATCTGGAAAGCAGACAAATAATGATTAATGATTTAATAAACTTGAGAAATCTGAATCTGAGACCAGTAATGGGGAAAGTGAAGTGATTTATAACTCAGCACCCTTAAAAGGCTCAGGAGTTGGTGGTACCAGGTACCTATGGATTTGTGGGTAAAAGCAGAATTATTGTTTAAAAGTCTGTTTAAGGAACAGCTTTTAAATCCCCTAATTCATTTCATTCAGGTGCAATTATTCCTCTTTGCTCTTCTACTCTCAACAGAAGATTAGAGATTTATTAATCTCTGGAGAGATTAAACAGAGAGTATCTGAACTAGGGACACTAATTTTAGCTGAGGATGGGTGTAACCATACAAAACACTAGATCACAGTGAATTTTGGCATTCTGAGTGCTGAGACCCTCCTAGTCCTTTTATTCCCCCACTTAGCTACCAGAACACTGTGAGTTCCAGTGAGTTTTTCACCAGCCAGACAGGAGTTTAGAAGTCTTCTAAAAGGAATCTTTCCAGCCCAAGAAGGAAATACTTAAAATCACTGAAATGAGGGGTTTCTTAGCTGGCTGGCCCAACCATATCATCGTGCAATAAAGCTCTTAGTCACACACAGGCTTAGACCTTCTAGTCAGTTCTTAAGTGCTGCACTCTTAAACATTAGCAGAAACCAAGGTGCCAGACATCTCCATGGAAAGTAGAATCTAAACAAACACAAGAGACACTCAGAAGAAATGGATTGTACAGGGAAAGGAAATTTTAAAAACCAGAAAACCAAGAACTGCCTAGTATTACTATCTTCAGTGAGAAAAGAGGCTATTATACCTATAAGTTAAGAACAAAATGTTTTAAAAAGGAAACATGATATGAAAAATAAAGCCAAGAAAATGGCCAGCAAGTGTAGGAAAAACATAAAGACTTGGCAAATAGAAAAGACAGGAATATTGGAGAACAGACTGAGAGGTCCAACATCTGAATAATAGGTGTTCTAGAAAGAGAGAGAGAGAGAATAGAGGCAAGAAAATCAATAATAAAGTAACCCAAGAAAACTGAAAGACATGATTTTTCCAGATCGAAAAGACCCACAGTCAATGAAGGTAGGTCCACACCAAAGTAATCATTGTGAAACTTTTACTGAGAACGAAAAAGATCCTACAAATGCCCTCTCTGCCTCCCCAGAATTTTAAGTTACGTGTTCAAAGATCAGAAATCAAAATGGCTTTGAATCTGTCAACCATAACATTGGAAATGAGAAGACACTGGAACAATGCTTTCAGTATTTTTAAGAAAACAATTTTATAAATGCCCAATCAAATGAGAGGATAGAATAAAGATAATTTCAGATTTGCAATGTGTATTAGTACTCTGTTGATGTGTAACAAGTTGACCTCAAATTTAGCGGCATAAAACAACAGATATTTATTATCTGATGCATGTTCTGAGGGTCAGGAATCTGGAGATGGCTTAACATTGTGGTTCTGGCTCAACGTCCCTCATGAGGTTACAATCAAGCTGGTGGCTGGGGCTCCAGTATCTGAAGGGCTAAAGCCTCTGTTTCCAAGCTCACTGACTTGTCAAGAGGCTCTGGCTCCTTGCCATCAGGGCTTCTCCATAGGACAGCTTATGACATAGCAGCTTTGAACAAGAGAATTAACAATTTTCATTTAACATGTATATTTAACCCTGGACTTTAGAAATATGGAATGTGTATTTGTTTCAAGTATACAAGGATAGTGGCGCAGAAGTTAATTTTATTATGTTTTAAATAATACTTAAAGTATAGAAATAGCACATTATACTCATGTATATGTGATGTATTTCACAATAAAAAAAGTTAATACCAAAAAGAAGGCAGTTATCAATAATTTAGGTGTGTGGTAATAACAAAGGACTGAACTATATAGTCAGGGCCATGGGATTGGAGAGGAGGGAGTGGACAAAAGACATGAGGATTAAGAGCAAGTACGAGTTGGTGATTGATGGGTTCTCAAAAGAGTTAAAATTGCTTCTGAACCTGGTGAGTAAGAAGAATGAATGACAGCTCATACAACAGAGTTGGTAGTGCACAGACAATTTCTTTTCCCATCCTTGTCCCTAACTTTAAAGACATGTGCCAGTCTTTTAAAAAGATATTTGTCAGGCTCATGCCTTTTAAAATAAACTTTGATCAGCTGGCCAGTTGGCTCGGTTTGTTAGAGTGCAGCCCTGTAACACCAAGGTCAAGGGTTTGGATCCCCATGCCAGCCAGTCACAAAAAGAAAAAAAAAGCTTATAAAATACACTTTCAAAAGTTAAAATACATTTTTTCTTTTTAAATTTAGGAAGTAATGGTTGCTGATGATCTTGAAAGTGAGGTAGGATGATAAATTTTATTTTAAAGCTGTAAAAATGTTTTGTAAATTGAGTATGATATTACAGTAGAGGCTTAAGTCCTGAATTGGGATGGAGACCAGGATTCTATTTCTGGTTATTACAAACAAAAACGTACACATAACTATAAAACTATGTTTTGAATATAGTGGCCTCTGGGTTATTATAGGCATTTTGTTGTTATTGCCTCTGAATGTTTCATTTTCTGTGAAACTTGTTGTGAAAAGATGTAAAATTCTAAACATTATAAAGAAAATGTCTGATAATACTGATTTAAAATAACAGAAATTTGAATTTTTCATATCACTTTTATATATTGAATGTTTTAGTAGTATATTTGTAGAAACTATCAAATAGTTAAAATCCACCAGGTTGGAGAATTTATTAACTCCGGTCCTCAAAGTAATTCCAATTTACAGTTGCCGAACTACATTTTTATCCCAATTTTAAGCACAGGGTAATACTACTCTGAATTTATTCCTTTTCATTTCAGAGAGAAAAACTGAAGTCCCTTTTGGCAGCTAAAGAAAAGCAACATGAGGAAAGCTTAAGAACTATTGAGGCTCTGAAAAATAGATTTAAATATTTTGAGGTATAGAAAGCTTAAATTATTTTCTATAATTTATAATCGGTAGTGGTAGGGGGCTTGGTGTCAGATGTGAATTTGAATAAGTCTGTTCTTTATAGTATGACCTCAGACAATTTTCTGAGCTTGTTGCTTCTTTGGCAAAATTGGGATGATTGTCCTCTTCACAGAGTTGTAAAGGTTAAGTGAGATCATTTAAATTAATTAGTGTGTAGTTGACATTTAGTTTTGGTTCTGGTTTCATCTTTTCTGTTGTCCATCCTTGCCTTTATAAAACTTCCTATTTTTACTTGTAAATTTGCAGTGATTATGTTGGTAAGCATCATATAAATGAATGATGGTATGTGCAGGGTTATCTCAGAAAGGTTTGTGTACACTGTTATTTCCTATTTTTACTTGTAAATTTGCAGTGATTATGTTGGTAAACATCATATAAATGAATGATGGTATGTGCAGGGTTATCTCAGAAAGGTTTGTGTACACTGTTAAAAGTGTGTAAATTGATGAATTTTCACAATTTTAACACTTCCAGATCAAGAAACAGAACATTACCAGTACCCAGAAGCCTCCTTCACAATTACAACCCACTTTTCCCACACCAAGGGTAACTACTCTCTTGACTTATAACTGCATAGATTCATTTTGCAAGGCCATAATAAATGTTGTTCATCACTGGGGGTCACTGAAGAGAGTGGCTGGTTCATTATGAAATCTTTTGTCCTTATTGCGGGTTATAACTCTAAAGTTATATTTAAATAGTTCTTAGTCCATTTGTGCTGCTGTAACAAAATACCTGAGACTGGGTAACTTATAAAGAACAGAAATTTATTTTTTAGTCTGGAAGCTGGGAAGTTCAAGATCAGGGTGTACTGGCATTTGTTGTGGGCCTTATTGCTGCATCTTCACATGGCAGAAGGGGCAAGTGCTGTGTCCTACATGGTGGAAGGCAAAAGGTCAGAAAGGGGCCTAAGGTAATTCCCTTCAGCTCTTTTATAAGGCACTAGTATGTTCATGAGGGCCCTGATGACTTCATCACTTCCCAAAAGGCCCCATTTCTTCCACCACTATGAGAATTAAGTTTTAACACATTTTGGGGGACATTCAGACTACAGCGAAAAGTAATTTTTTTATTTGTAAATAAAAGACTACGTGTACAGCTGTGACAAAGAATGTAAAACATGGATTCATCTCACAAACGTAAAGTTGCATGAAAGAAAGAGTATGTACTCCACAATTTGATTCTTACAAAGTTCAAAGCAGATGAAACTAATCAGTGGTGTTGGGGGTTAGTATAGAGGCCATCCTTTGGTGAGAGCTTTCTGAGCAGGCCGGGCCCATGGAAGCTTCTGGGGTGCTGGAAACGTTCTGTATCTTGATCTGGGTTGTGATTACACAAGGTATACATATGCAAAAATTCATTCTACCATATGCTTAATATTTATGTGCTTTACTACAGGTGACTTATGCATTGGTAAATCTTTAGAAATAGAGCAAAAAAAAAAGCATTTTTTTATATTTATATGACTAAATTCTAATGATTATTCAGAATCGTAGTTTTGTAGCTAAAGAATGATCTAGCTGTAGTGGCTTTTATCTTTTTCACATTTGAAGACTTTTTTAAGGTTAATTGCGAAACTAGTAAAAGCTAACATTTTCACAGCACCAGCCATGTGTCAGGAACTGCTTTGAGCACTTTACATGCATTAATAAGCACATAAACCCTATGTGGTAGGTTTTATTATTATTTGCACTTTATAAGTGAGGAGGCTGAAGCACAGAGAGGTTTACACATGAAAAGGTTTCACACATAGTAAGTGGCAGATCTGAGACTTGAACCCAGGTATCTGGCTATTTTGGGCTTCTAACTGCAATTCTGGTTTTACACTTAGAATAGCTTGAATGAGAAAATGCAGGTGTATATATGGAGCCTTTGAAATATTCACCAAAGTTGGACACCTATAATTTGGTTACTACTTATGTATTACTTTTCTTCTAAGAGGTAGATTCTCTGCATGTCCTAAGAATAAGACATTTTTCTGTAGCTTTGGACAAACTCTAGTTGTCTAGTTTGTTGAGTCTGTAAATTTCAATAAGGTCATAATAAGCTATAGAAAAGTAACATTTTTTAAAAATAACAAAACAATACATATTTATTTCAGAAAAATTAGAAAATATAGTTAAACTAAAAGCAGAAAATACACCTATAGTCCTAGCACTGTTGGCACTTGACCAGTATCCTTTCAGACCTTTGTGCATTATTTCTTTGTTACTCAGTCAGCAGGTGGGAACATACTGTACATCCTGTTTTCTTTGTTACTCAATCAGCAGGTGGGAACATACTGTACATCCTGTTTTGTAACTTTTCCCATTCAGTGTAATGGGGATTTCTTTGTTACTCAGTCAGCAGGTGGGAACATACTGTACATCCTGTTTTGTAACTTTTCCCATTCAGTGTAATGGGGACATTTTCCTCAGTGAGTGCATATTCATTGTGATGAATTTTTATACTAGGAATGAGTATTTACTTTTAAGCAGAAAATTACAGGTCCATCTTACATATAATTCAGTATTTATGAAAGTAGCCATTAAAAGCTAAGAATTCATCATTACAAATATTGAATATCCACTTGTGTATCATCTCACATGCTTAAAAAGCTTTTAAAATTGCCAACAGAATTACTGTATTGTGAATTATGTGTAATACTTAATATGTAGGTATTTCCCTTATGTTTATAGATAAAATATGGGGAAATATGGATATTTTAGAATGAGGCTAATTTTATGTTATAATTCATGCATTTTTCATTTGAGTAATAAAGGAAAGGTAATAAAACCAAATTAAGTATTTTGAACTACTATGTGCTTTGGCTTTCCCCCCACCAATACAAGATAAGCCCATTTAGTAGTTATTGCAAACTCTGGTATTAAATATTGCATAGAACAAAAAGCTTAACTAAGCTTACAGATATTTTTCCATATGTTCGGAACACTAAGGATTAACGGAGGTGGCACTAATTCAGTTATGGAACTGTGGAAAATTTTTATACTGGTCACCTAACTCTAAGTTTGATATATAGCTGTTAGTACTAATAAAACCAAATACACAAACATGAACTACATCTGCATATCCGTGTTCTTTAAGTATAATATTTTAATTTATGTATTAGATTTTTTGTATTGGCTTACTTGGGAAAAGGAGCAATCCAAGTATATTTCCATTCATAGTATCTGAAGTTTCTTTTTCCTAACTGATGCATTGATGAACTTATTACTAACTGTGTACAGGTTTTTGATGCAGTTTTATTTTCTGTTCTTTGTCTCCTTTTGCCTTCAAAAGTAATCAATATTTTGTAAATTCTGAAAGGGTTACACTAATATTTCATAGTCAGTGAAGTAGGGTTTCTGCTCCTAACAGTAGTAAAGTAAAATGAGTCCTTGTTGCAAATATGGCACTTTCTTCCTTTTGAGGTAAAGCAGCAGCAAACACTAGATACTGAAAGTTGTTTCAGTTAATTTGGTGCTCACTTTTTTTGTTTGTTTTGAGCAATAAAGTTTTTCCTTGAAACACTTGGCTGCTTTTATTAAAATGCTTAGTGAAATAGTTATTCCCAACTGTTCTCTCTAATTGCTGCTAGTGCTGTACCTTTTTGTGGGTTCCAGTAGAATAATACTCAGGAGAAACAAGGAATGTCAAAAATGTGGTTTTAATGACTGGACCATTTAGAGCTAAAATAGATACAGAATTTAACAAAATGAAGCAGCATTCACCTAAAATGTTTTAATTTATGCTTCTGATTTCAGAGTGATCATTTAGGATCAGGAAGTCATTTCAGTAATCGTAAGTATGAAGGTATAGATTATCATTACAGTTCACCCAGTTCAAGCAAAGAAGAATGTTAATGCCTGTTTATTTGTCCAACTGTACATGATACTCCTGCTGCTAAACTTCACTCATCTACTTGTGTGTTATACCTCAACAGATAGAACTAGGAGGTTAAAATGACTACTGTAGCCTCTAACATAAAGTCTGGTAATCACTGAGGCTCTGATTTTCCTTAACCACCTATATCCATTTACTTGTGTGTTATACCTCAACAGATAGAACTAGGAGGTTAAAATGACTATTGTAGCCTCTAACATAAAGTCTGGTAATCACTGAGGCTCTGATTTTCCTTAACCACCTATATTTTTAAGTCACGTATTGTATGAATTACCAAATTTGTCTTGTTGATTAGTAGAAATTTATCTTGTGATGTTTAGGGCTTGTTTTTTTATGGAAAGAAACATAGTTTTCTGACTTGGAGAAATTGATCCTAATGCAGGTCAGCAATTTAAAATTATAAGTTCCATAAACAATTATTTACGTGTTAATTATTTTAAGACTGTACTTCCAAGGTCAAGGGTTTGGTTCCCTGTACTGGCCAGCCACACATACACTGCCCTCTTCCCCCCTCAAAAGGCTATACTTAGTTCACCTTCACTTTTGTTTATTCTCCAATTTTAAACAATTGCCCTAGAAAATCTGTCTTTGTTTCTTCCTAGTGAATATCTAAGCACAGCAGTAATATTTATCCTATACATTTCAAAGAATTCCATTTTATTTTGACTGATTGTAAGATATATATTTTATAATAATCATGTAGCCTATTTAGTTTAACAGTCCTCTGTTTCTAAAAACTAATTTAGTATCTATTGTTAGTAGGCTGTAGATACTTCCTTAATGTTTATAGAAATAAGGAGGGAAACATGGGTATTTTAGAACAAGAATAATTTTATGTTGTACCTACTGCTTTTCTTTTGTTTGAATAATAAAGGAGAGGAAATAACACCAAATTAATACTTAGCTTACTTTGACATGAATATTTAAGATATCATTTATTTGGACTTATTTAGGGAAAGAAGATATGCTTCTCAAACAAGGTCAAATGTACATGACAGACTCACAGGTAATACTTTTTTTTAATTTTAAAAAATATTTAAAGAAAATATTTGTGCCTTTATAAAAAAAAGACAATGGCATCGTATTTATTAAGTGTATGTATATATTTTGAGTAAGGTTTTCATTATCAAAGGAAAATTGGTCTTGCTTTCTTGAGTGTAATAAAAGCAGATATTGCTGTTTCTGGTGCCCTCTAGAGTGTTTTTGATGATAGTGACTTAAATGAGAGATTTGAATTACAATTTCTTTGTCTTTGCTAGTAAGCCTCTGTTTTTTTTAACAGCGATCAGTTAACTTCATACTTGCTCATATAAAGGGGAAGACAGGTATAATAATTCGAAAGTAATTTGTTTTGGCTTCAAAATGTATTTTTTCTTGCAATTGAATATATATTCTATGCTTTGGAAATTCACCTCAAAATAAAGAAAGAGAGGTAGAGTGTTGTCTGATTTTCTTACCTTTTTATCTGCTCCTCACCTTTTCTTTCAAGTAGTTACAAGGTTTGCATTTCTAGCACCTTCTATGGATTTCAGAACTGATAAATATTTAAAAGTCTTTTAAGGGCTTTTTTTTTTTTTTACATACTTTTGTCTTTGGGCGGAGACATACTTTCGTCTTTGGGCGGAGTGAGTTAGCCTAGATGAGGTCTATGATCTCTTCGAGATGGAAAATTTTAAGATTCTAAATTGAGAGAATGGTTATCAACTAGCCAGTATTTAAGAAGATTAGGTAAATATTTGATTATAATAAAACAAGTATGGAAGTTGTAAAGCAGTGTAAGTAATTTCTTGGTTTTAGTCTGAAAGTCTTAGTCTAAAGATAATTGGTAAGTTGAAAGATAATTTAAAAGCAGACTGAGACTGGGAAATTATTCCATGTTTTCGATTTTCTTTTCTTTATTCCAGGGGAAGGCAGTTCAGATTCAACTGCATAACAGTAAAACATGCCTATTAAACTAGTGGGATGTACTCATAGCATATGGCTTTTATCAATGAATTAGTATTTCAAAAGAGATATTTGGGGAAAATAAAAATAGTTAAATTTAGTCTTTCAAGATTGTATGTTCTAATATTTGCGAACTATTTTACTGAGAAGTTTAATTATACAGGTACTTTTGTCAGCACTTAATAGAAGGAACAAGATAGCAATAAAATTTTGTACTAAGATTATGTGCTAAATTTTAATTTATCTTCCTATTTGAGAGAAGAAAATTTTTTTTTGTGAGTTGACTGACATTCTCTTTACAACTCCCATACTAGCTGGGTTTATTTTGGTGATATTTTTATAATTTAAAGAACATTACATTGGAGTTAACAATGAGTTTTTAGAAGTCATATATCTTATTAGAACTTAAATAATATATAATTCTATGAAATGATTTGCATATTTACAATTGTAGTACTTGTTTTAATTCAAGGGTTCTGATGGCTTTCTTCAGAATTTGAATTTCTAGGCACGTTATGTACCATAAAACATAAAAATATTAAATATATTTTGATAAGGTTGATATTCATGTGTTGGGTAGCTGTTATGAATGGGGAAAGAAAGAGAAAATAGTGCCCAGAGGCCCAAGCTATTTTTCTTCTTTATTCTGCCAGAAATAGACTTAAGTGAACAGAACTCTGAAAATGTTCTGAGCGTATTAAGGAAATCCTACCCAGAACTGTTTTTCTTACCACAAAAATCAGTGCTGTGACTTTTTTTTTCCCATCTTACTAGTATGAGAACCCTTTGACTCCTGATGATGTGGAAACTTTCTATAAGTTTGGCAATAAGTACTTATAATAAGTGTCTTCTTTAGGCTTCTGTGATTGATGTCTTTTTTTTTTTTTTTTTTTACTTTTCAGTGTACTTTCACAGGTATGCCAGCTCATATGCAAAGCAGATCTATGTTAAGACCATTGGAGCTATCTCTACCCAGTCAAACCTCATACTCTGAAAATGAAATTTTAAAGAAAGAGTTAGAAGCAATGCGGACTTTCTGTGATTCAGCAAAACAAGACCGACTCAAGCTCCAGAATGAACTGGCTCACAAGGTGGCAGAGTGCAAAGCTTTAGCGTTAGAATGTGAAAGGGTGAAAGAGGATTCAGATGAACAGATAAAGCAATTAGAAGATGCATTAAAAGATGTGCAGAAGAGGATGTATGAGTCAGAAGGGAAAGTTAAACAAATGCAGACTCATTTTCTTGCCCTTAAAGAGCACCTAACAAGTGAAGCAGCTACAGGGAATCACAGACTAACAGAGGAACTGAAGGATCAGTTGAAAGACATGAAAGCAAAATATGAAGGTGCTTCAGCAGAAGTGGGAAAATTAAGAAACCAAATCGAGCAAAATGAGATGTTAGCAGAAGAGTTTAAGAGGGATGAAGGCAAGCTGATAGAAGAAAATAAACGATTGCAGAAGGAATTTAGTATGTGTGAAATGGAGCGAGAGAAGAAAGGAAGAAAGGTCATGGAGATGGAAGGCCAGTTAAAAGAACTGTTAGCAAAATTGGCCTTTTCTATTCCAACGGAAAAGTTTGAAAACATGAAGAGCTTATTATCAAATGAAGTTAATGAGAAAGCAAAAAAGTTAGTAGAGACGGAAAGAGAATATGAAAAATCAGTTAGTGAAATTAGACAGTTAAGGAGAGACCTTGAGAATGTTAAGGCCAAGCTTGCTCAGCATGTCAAACCAGAGGAACATGAACAGCTCAAGGGCAAATTGGAGCAAAAATCAGGGGAACTTGGGAAGAAGGTCACTGAGTTAACACTGAAAAATCAGACGTTACAAAAAGAGATAGAAAAGGTTTCCCTGGATAATAAGCTCCTCAACCAGCAAGTACATAACTTAACAATTGAAATGAAAAATCATTATGTTCCTTTAAAAGTAAATGAAGAAATGAAAAAGTCACATGATGTAATTATTGATGATTTGAATAAAAAGCTTGTAGATGTAACACAAAAATACTCAGAAAAGAAGTTGGAAATGGAGAAATTGCTGATGGAAAATGACAGCTTAAGTAGGAATGTCAACCGCCTGGAAACTGTGTTTGTACCTCCTGAGAAACATGAAAAAGAGATAATGGCTCTGAAATCCAATATTGTTGAACATAAAAAACAGCTATCTGAACTTAATAAAAAATGTGGTGAAGACCAAGAGAAAATATATGAACTTATGTCTGAAAACACTAACTTGAAAAAGACTATGAGTAATCAGTATATGCCAGTTAAAACCCACGAAGAGATTAAAACTGCACTGACTAACACATTAGATAAAACTAACAGAGAATTATTGGATATGAAGAAAAATTTTGAAAATATAAATCAAGAATTTATAAAAATAAAAGATGAGAATGAAATATTAAAAAGAAACCTGGAAAACACTCAGAACCAAATAAAGGCTGAGTACATCAGCCTAGAAGAGCACAAGGAAAAGATGAGTGCTGTAAGTAAGAGCATGAAAAAGGTACAGGATAATAATGCTGAGATACTGGCTGATTACAAAAAAGGCCAAGAAGAGATCGTGACACTGCATGCTGAAATTAAAGCCCAGAAGAAGGAGCTTGACACAATACAAGAATGCATTAAGCTAAAATATGCTCCAATTGACAGCTTTGAAGAGTATGAGAGAAAATTTAAAGCAACAGAGAAAGAACTGAAAGAACAGTTATCAGAGCAGACACAAAAGTATAGTGTCAGGGAAGAAGAAGCCAAGAAAAGCAAGCAAGAAAATGACAAGTTAAAGAAGGAGATCGCCACATTTCAGAAAGATTTAAAGGATAAGAATGTTCTCATTGAGCATTTTCATGAAAAGGAAAGAGCATTAAGCAGAAAAACAGAAGAGCTAAACAAGCAGTTAAGAGACCTGACACAGAAGTACACTGAAGTAAAGAATGAGAAAGAGAAGCTAGTAGAAGAAAATGCCAAACAGACTTCTGAGATACTTGCAGCACGGAATCTTTTGCAGAAACAGCATGTTCCATTGGAACAGGTTGAGGCTCTGAAAAAGTCTCTTAATGGCACAATCGAGAGTCTAAAGGAAGAACTGAAGAATAAACAAAGGTGTTATGAGAAAGAGCAGCAGACAGTGACCAAACTGCATCAATTGTTGGAGAATCAAAAGAATTCTTCTGTGCCCCTGGCAGAGCATTTGCAGATTAAGGAGGCATTTGAGAAAGAAGTTGGAATCATGAAAGCTAGCTTAAGAGAAAAGGAAGAAGAAAGCCAAAACAAAACTGAAGAAGTCTCCAAACTTCAGTTTGAGGTTCAGAATACTAAACAAGCATTAAAAAAATTAGAGACTAGAGAGGTAGTTGATTTGTCTAAGTATAAAGCAACAAAAAGTGATCTGGAGACACAGATTTCCAATTTAAATGAAAAATTGGCTAATCTGAATAGGAAGTACGAGGAAGTATGTGAGGAGGCTCTGCATGCCAAAAAGAAGGAACTGTCTACAAAAGATGAGAAGGAATTACTACATTTCAGCATTGAGCAAGAAATCAAGGATCAGAAGGAACGATGTGATAAGTCCCTAACAACAATCACAGAGTTACAGAGAAGAATACAAGAATCTGCTAAACAAATAGAAGCGAAAGATAATAAGGTAGGTACAAAGTAGCCTGCATGGCTATGCGCTGCAAACCCCAGAGCAGAACTCCCAGAGAAGAAGAAGAATAGGACTCTTACCATAATGTTCCACAGATAGGTTTACAAAGGTATCATCAAAGTGACCATTAAATGCTACCTTTCCAGTTTGACTATTGGTGTGCAAAAGATTCTAAATTGGAAAGAAGTGAAATAATAGACAAAGTTCAAAAGCATTTTTACTTCTTTTTCTTTAGCTGGTACAGCTAAGAATTGAGGAAAGATGGAGAGACTCAAGGTTCACTTGCCTAATAGATGAAGAGTCAAAATCCAGTGGATTTATGGCATCTGAAAAATGGGGATGGAGAGTAGGAAGAAAAAAGCTGTTTCTGAGCTGCAAGAAAGCAGACACTGAGTAGCATCCCGAACTTGTTCTTGCCACTCACTCAAACCAGTAAACTGAGTCCTCCAATTCATTTCACATTCTGTCCCCCATATCTTTGTACAGATTAGTCCCCTCACCATTCCCCTCATTTCTACTGAGTTCAATCCTTTACATTCTTTAACACCTTATCCTTCTTCCGAAAACCTTCACTGTTCAATCTAGCCTACAGTAAATGGTTCCTCTTCCAAAATAAATGTTTTTCTTTTGGCTTTGCCATCTATTCAAAACATATATATTACTGTGTTAGAATTATGTGGTTGATCTTCCCAACCAGTTGTAAGAGCTGGGTGTATAACTTATCTTTCCTTCTCTTGGTACCATTACAGAATAGGTACTCAACAGTATTTTTGAAACTGGTAGTTGCATAAAGTTTGTACTATGGAGAGGGGATATGAAGATTGACTGCAATTTTATTCATTCAACCAGTAATTATTAAATGCTTTCCTTGTGTCAGGTGCTTGGGATACAGTGATGAGTAAAAGCACTCACAGACCTAGCCCTCCTCAGTGGAGAGGTACAAGTACTAATGTCTGGCATGTCTTCTCATATGATCATGAATTTAAATAGTCAGCTAGTTTGGAAGGTAGTTATGAATATCGTAATATATAATTATTATAGCTGATTATTAATATGTACTTATACGTGTTGCCATTTACTGAGCATGTACTATGTACCAGGCATGTATTTATGATTGCATTTGATTTTCTTAACTCTGAAAGATTTTCCACCTTTCACCAATGAGGAAACTAAGGCTCAGAAAAGTAAAGGATATTAGCCAAATTCACACAAGTCAGATCTGTCTGACTTTGCCTGTGCTCTTTCCACTACTCTAAATAGCTTCCCTATTTTTTCTTTTCCTTTTTACAACAAAGTAGTCTTAAATAATACAACTCTTGAAAGGAACGAGGTATGTAAGTTAATTCTAGACTTACAAAGGCGATGAGATTTCACTTTTCACACTTTGTTGGAGGGGATAACCCCTACCTTCCTGTGTTCCAGACATTACTTGGAGGATAGTTTATATACTTTCAAAGATACTTATTTATTATATTATATAGAAGTAAGAAGATCAAGTTCATATTCAAATCTTAGAATATATGTGACATTTATTCTTAATTTGGTATTACTTTTATAAGGAATTAACTGAGAGGGATTAAATTAAAGAAATTATATATTGTATGTACTGTTGATAACAACCTTGACAATATTCATACCTCAGTTTTCTGGCTTATAAAGATAAAAGTTTGTGTCTCAAATAAGGAATGATTTCTGTGCAGAGATGTTTATTATATATGAATAAGTGAATAATACATTTCTCCCATACTTTTTTTTTTTCAAAGATAACTGAGCTGCTTAATGATGTAGAACGACTAAAACAGGCACTCAATGGCCTTTCCCAACTCACCTACACAAGCGGGAGCCCCACCAAGAGGCAGAGCCAACTGATTGACACTCTTCAGAACCAAGTGAAATCCCTGCAGCAGCAGCTGGCTGTGAGTAACCAGATGCACAGGGCTTTGCGCTGATATGTGCTGGTTCATGTTTGTTTGTTTGTTTATAAAGCTAGAAATCAAATTGATTGGTAGCTGTGTTCAGATCCAAGAATGTAATCATTTTTGCCAAAAGTTAGCTATACTGGTGGTATAATAACATTATTTATTTGGTGCTTACTATACACCAGGCACTACATTAAACATTTTACATTATTTCTAAAGTGTATCTTTATCACAGTCCTACAAAGTAGGCTTTATTCCATCCATTTAATTCTTAAGAAAATAAGATTAAAATACCTGGGGTATGTATGCCTGGGATCATACAGCTGGAATTTAAACCTGGGACTGGCTGACTCCAAATCCAGCATCTTTCTCACTGTAGTACACACTCTAAAATATTGGTCCCATAGGCATAAACTAGAGGAGGTGTTTTATAATTCTTTACTTTTGTGAGTAAAGATAGGCATTTCTATGGTCTTATGCCTTATATCCTTATATATTAAAGGAAAGCTTCTGGATACTTATTATCTCCTTTATGTATTGAAAGAAGGCATCTAGATTTAGAGGCTAAAGATGGTGGCTTTGATCTAAGCCCTGTCACTTAAAAGCAAGTGATGTGGAATAACCTTTAGCTTCTGCATCCATCCAATAGGACACTAAGAACTGGTTATTTGTTTGTTTACATTTTCAATTGAATGAGCTAATAATATACATTGAAATGCTAAGTGAAACATTGCCGGGCCTCCCTGAGCCAGAGGCCGACAAAACCGAGCGGGAAGAGACCCCGGTCCAGCCGGGGGTCCCTTGCGGGGCTGAGCGGGATGATGAGTGTCGCTGGCACGGCCCTTCCCCCCCAGGATCTTCCTCCCCGGGGGCCGAGAAAGAACACCACCGAGCCAGGAGAGTGGTCAAAGCCGGAACTCCGTTTATTTGCAGGGCGGCACAGCTTATATAGGGAAAAAAGGCAGGGCGGGTTTTGATATGAGAGATCAAGCAAAGAGCCAATAAGAAGGGCTTAAAAGGATAGGGTGAGGTGGTGGGGAGGCTTTACGCGAATACGGAACTAAAGTTGCTGAATCACTGGGACCCGGAAGGGCGAGGCTGGCAGCTACGTGCCGTTGAGCGCTAGTGAAATGGTGGCCGCGGGGTGCATGAAATGTCGCCCGTGCGCGTCAGGGCGCATGCGCGCAAAGTTATGCCCAACAAAACATGGCCCATTCAAATATAAATTGTTGCTAATATTTTCCTATTCTGTAGGAATTGGTTATACGTTGTTTTTGAATAGAAGAAAGTTATTTTTTTTTAAATTTTTATTTATTTATTTATTTTTTCCTTTTTGTCTTTTTTCGTGACCGGTAACGGGATCGCAACCCTCGGTGTCGCGCCCGTACCGCGACCGGCAACGGGATCACAACCCTCGGTGTCGCACCCGCACCGTGCTCAACCAGTGAGCAGACCGGTCTCTACATGGGATCTGAACCCTCGGCGGGCGCGCCTCTGCGCTCCCAAGCGCCGCACTCTACCGAGTGCGCCACCGGGCTGGCCCAGAAAGTTATTTTTTTAAGTGTTTATTTTTTAACACTGTTGGCCTACAGATTAATGATGGGCGCGCCTCTGCGCTCCCAAGCGCCGCACTCTACCGAGTGCGCCACCGGGCCGGCCCAGAAAGTTATTTTTTTAAGTGTTTATTTTTTAACACTGTTGGCCTACAGATTAATGATGGCGCATTGCTGATTTGGATCTTATCCAAATAAGATCTTGGTCTTTGATAATTGGAAATGTCTGTTTATTTATCTTGTTCATGATACTGAACTAAGCCCTGTCAGGGATAAAGAGAGTGTACTGTTCCTGAAGTCCCCAACAAGTTCTGGGTAGTTGGAGAGGCAAAATATACATCCATGATAAGTGAAATAACAAGACAAGAGATCTCAAATATAGAATTGAGAATGGAGTATCAGATTCTAAGTGATATGGGTTCCTAGGAAGGAAAGATGACTGGTGTGGTGAGAGGTAGTTTCAAAGAGGAAAGCAGTACCTGGCCTGAACTAGTAAAATAGATGGTGTTTTAGTAGGTGAAAGGAAAATAGAGGATCTTGGAGGCAAACAAAATAATGTGAAGAAAGGCATGGAGGTAGAATGAAAGTGGCATGACCAGGGACCAGTAGAAAAGCCTGCCTGTATTTGGGAGCTAATATTTGAGGCCAAATTGTGGGGGCCATTGAGAACCGAGCTGATGAGTTTGGATTCTTTTATATGTAAAGAAGTTTTATCCAAGGTTTTTGAGTCAAAATTGATGTGAGGGAAGAGCTACCCCAGTCTTAGAAACATGAGAGGAAATAGAGAGTAGAGATAGGGAGGCAAGATGGAAGTTTCTGCAGTAATTCAAAGCATAAGTTGATCAGTGTCTGGATAAGTTCATCACATTAGATGTGAACTAAGGCAATAATTTCATGTTACCTAGGATAAGTGGCATCGCTTTCATTATGAATGCCACATATACATTAGAAAACTTTATGCTGTTGTTATGTTATAGCATTCTACATTTGGTTGGTCCAAGGTGGTTTGTTATAAGAAGTAGCAGGAGCACTTCCATAGTAATACCACTGTTTGAGCATCAGGCCTGAGGAAATCATTGCCATGAGTCTCCATACATTGGAAATGTTTGATAACATTTTGATCTGTCCATCTTTCCACATTTGTAGGATGCTGACAAACAGCACCAAGAAGTAATTGCAATTTATCGGACACACCTTCTTAGTGCTGCACAGGTAAAGAACTATTTCTCCTTTGGAAAGGATATTGTTTTAGAGAAAATAATTTTTCATTTTCTAGTAAATTTATGTGAAAGTAATTGATATTTAGAGTAGCTGTAGCCCATATGCTTATTTAAAAATAATTGTGTTTCTTTTAATCATGGCTTGCGTGTCTCTGAGAAAAATTTGCAAGGTTATATGGCAACACAACATCTTAAATTTAGTGTTGTCTCCATCTGCTTGTCACTCAGTTTATAGATAGTTTGGCAACATATGATGGCACCACACATTAATGGTATTGCTAGCTGGAGATAATGCCTTGACATCCACACATCAACTAAAAGAGGAGAGTGGAAAGGACTCCATATGTTTTTCGGTAGCTTAGGGATATTTTTTGAAATGTAGAGAATACTAGAAAAGTATGGAAATGACAACTAGGGTGTGCACAGAAGTGTAATAATTAAGGAAAAATTGGTCTGTTAATAGATAATCAATAATTGTTATTTATTGAGCTTTAAGCTCAGTGAAGTATAAGATCACGAATTCCCCTCTTTAGGGTGTACTGAGAGAGCTACCAAAAAAAAGTCATACTAAGAAAATGTTTAACATATGAAGTATGCTATACTTAATGTTCTGTAGAAATCCTCTAAGCAACATCTCGAAAATTCTCAGAATAGATTTTTTCAGGAAGATGTACTAAAAGAGACAAATTTTGGAATGACAGGTGAGATATAATAGGAATTATTTGGATTTGAAGTGTGTTAGGCCACACTGTAAAAAACAAAAGCAAAAAAAACAAAGAAAGGAAAGATAGGTGTTAAGAGAAAGCTTAAAAGGAAGGTCATTTCAAAAAGAGAGCTAGATAAAATAATAAAAAGAAAGATACTTTACGAAATCAAATTCTTAAAATCAGTAGGCCTGCCTTTTCTATAGGAGATGAAGGGGAAATCAATGAAAAAGAATGAATGGTAGTGTGATAGAAGAAGGTACCTTAAGCTACACTCTTGAGTAGATAGAAGATAAGCTGGGATTTGAAAATGTATTGCAGTTATTAGAGAAGGCTATTGATGGACATCGGAGTGGGAAGTTGAAGGGGGGAAATAGAAAAACATAGAAAAGCTGTATTACAGAAGGTGAGGAACTCAACTGGTGTTGGCCAAAGAAAGAGCTTGCTCTCGCTGAAAGATACAACAGAATTAACAAGGCTTTCTACTTTGTATGATATATGCTTCTGAAATTTGAAATTATTTTCTACTGAGTCCTAATGAAATATAACAAAAACAATTGGCATCTGAAATAGTCTTGCCTTCTGGAATCATAAAGTTAGCTAAGAAAGTCAGTTTAGTCAGCTATGGCTAATGTTTGAAATTTAAATATCCTGCTGTTATAGAAACAGATTTTGGAAGCAAAACTTTGTGTATTAATAGGAAGTGTTGTGCTGGAATATATTCAAGTGCTCCAGCAAAAAAAAAAAAAAAGTGGGGTGTGTGTGTGTTGTAAGCCTACCATATTAACTTGCATTTAATCAATCTCTTGCCACTTTTCTAATTTTAAAATGTTTCTTTTTAATTATAAATGGCTAATGTGCATATAAAAATATGCTCAACCTCATCAGTAATGGAGGAGAAGCAAATGAACAAGGAGGTATCATTTTTCACCTATGGGATTAGCAAATATTAAGCAAGATGATAGTCTATAGTTTTGACCAGAATGTGTAGGAAATTGGCATTTATACTCTGTTGGTGGGAATGTAAATTGTTATTATCACTATAGAGGGAAATTTTGTAGTACTTTGCAAAATTAAAAATCAATCCTGCTTTTTGATCCAGCAATTTCTTCTCTAAGAATCTGTCCATAAAGATTGGAAATCTATTAAATGTCCATCCTTAGGGGAATGGGTAAAGAAATTTACTATATCCATACAGTGGGATATTATACAATAACTTAAAATAATTAGGTAGTTCTAGAGAAAGATTTCTATGACACTAAGTAAAAAAGCATGTTGCAAAATGATATATATTATATGATCCTATTTAAGTAAAAATATAAATATGGGGATTTTTTTTGAAGTACTGTTCTAATTAAAACAAAAAAACAAAACAAAACCTCATCAGTGTCAATCTAAACTGAGTGACAGAGAGACTGACTCTTCAAAGCAAAGAGTTTATTTTGGAATAGCAGGAGATTGCAATCTGGGATATGCATGTTATGGGTAACAGCAGGCCTATAGCAGACCATAGGTGCATCTGGAGAGGTAGGGGCAGGGAGAAACTCTTAAAAGAAAAAAGAAGTCCACATAAGCTGCTTTTAAACAAAGACCATTGGTTGCAGGGGATTGTTGCAGGATGGCGTTAGTTTATTGGTGGAGACAGCAGTTGTTAGGCAAATGTCCTTGTACAAAAGGCTTATCTGGAGTAGGTGGTTTTAAGGAATTCCTTGCATAGTTCCTGTCATAGGCATATATGTGGGAGCGTCCGTACTTCATGGCTCCTGGCTCCATTTTGTTGAGGTTTGACATTAGCGACTCCATTTTGATACTGATAACTTTCACAGCAGCAGCAGTAACAAAAACTTTCCTTATAGTTTATTTTGCTCATTTATGACTTATGTTGCCTTTATCATCAGAGGCTGTTATTACAAAAAAGTTTGTTCATTTGTTTTCTGGTAATAGATGTTAAGAGCAACTGCTATGTACTACGTATTAATTGACTTTATTTTCATGATAGAGCTCTATTCCCTTTTCTAATAATTCCTTTAGAAAATCATCACAATGATGAGGACTTAGCATTTGGTGAATCAGAACCAGTTATGCTATATTTATTATAAGGTCTTTGTCTTTAGAATTCTTGTGTAGATGATGATGACATAAAATATTTCTCCCCTTTCTTCTTTCTCTCAAGGGTCACATGGATGAAGATGTTCAGGCAGCCTTACTCCAAATCATACAAATGCGGCAGGGGCTTGTGTGCTAGCAATTAGCACTGACCAGCCAATCTCCATTTTATCCTGCTGGTGCTGAGTATTCTGTGTGCAACTCTATGGCCTTTCTGGGCCTTACTGTGCTAGTATAACTAAAATAAAATATATTTTGTTCCATCAGTAGGTTTTTTTAATTAGATGAGCATGTTACTGAGTTTTTCAATTCATTTCAAATATTATATTTTACATATGTTAATTTTACAGTTGGACAAACAGCATAAAACTTTGCATTGGATTGACTAAATATTTTTAAACTTTTGAGTCTAATAAAGTATGAGTCAACTGAGTGGGTCCATACAAAGAGGGGTTAGGCTGAAAAAATGGTTTAAAGATTTTTTTCAGAGAAATTAATTTGATTGGTGGCCACTTTAAAGTGGATCAAAAGATCTTTTGGTTCCTTAGTCAAGCCTTGAGACTATGTAGTTTCAAGGAATGCATTGTAGCTTGGCTGGCCAAGTTACATCTTTATTGAGGTAACTTAATGAGTGCCTTTGACTTCTTTTGGAGTTGCAGATTTTTTTCTTCTTACACTAATAACTTTTATGCCTTTTAAGATAAGTTTCTTTTCATAGATGATTTGCAGTGCTTAATTACATTTTGATTAAGAACAGGCAGGGGTGGAATATATTAGGAATTTATAATAAAATTGCCAAATAATCTCTGCAACAGTATCTTAATTTTTACTCGTGGTGACTTTTCTTGCCGCAGTATTTAGAGAACTATGATAAGTGATACACTAGGCTTTTCAAAGTGTCAGAAAGTTTATAGACTTCTTTTTAACAATTACTTTGACACTTGCTACTGTATTAACCAAATTCTTATTATACATGAATCCTCCAAATGTTTCATACTTATTTATAGGAAAGTTGTGCTAATGAGATTAATAATATGAAATGCACTTTTCCTACAAAAATAGCATTAGAGAATTGATTTTAGAAAAGATCTCTAATGTTTTAGACCAAAGTGCAAGAATACAGTAAACTAAAAATATAGAGAGCAAGAATATAATAAAATTGGACATGTTTATAGTAAATAATACAATCATTTTTATTGATTACATCTCATTAAGGAAAGTTTATATGTCTTGGTATTTTTATTAATATTTTGTTTGCGATTAGGATTGAAAATTACTAATGTGACTGTTAGCAAATAACTGAACAATTGAATCATTTCATCTGTTTTCTTAGATTGCAAAATGTGCCTTCGCAATAATCTTTGAGTGTCCTAAACTAGATTTTTTTATCCCATTTTTGTATAACAGGGAAAATGGACTATCAAAATATCTTCTCACACCAAAGAATAAGCCATCATATTTCTTCAGTGTAGAAACAACAGTGAAAAGTCAGAATTGATTTATTTTTAATTCTTTAGGTAGATATGAGGGTACTTCAAAAAGTTCGTGGAAAAATTGAGTTAAAAGATTATACAAATCCTTTCATCAACTTTTTGAAGACCCTTGTATATAGTTTTCATAAGCAATATCTGGCTTCTGTAAATTATTATATTTAATGTTGTCCTTCAGCATGAGTTTTAGGTCAACTTTTGAAGCTCTCTAGGGGAGCAAAGTTCTAAACTGAATATCCACATTTGGTGCTGTATTTTCCTTATTAGTGGTAGGAAGGGAAACTTATGTGTATTTTATTTTGTCTTCAACCATCAATAAAATGTTTTCTGTAGAATATTGTTTTGAACATCCTTGTAAAAGATTTGCGAGTTAAACTAGTCCACTTACTATCTTTGGGGAATTTGTTTTTTTTTCTTTGGGGAATTTAGATTTGGAAATGATGGGGTCCCAAATTACAGATGATGGTATCTATTTTCAAGTTACGTATCTTGAGTAAAATAGCAATAACCTCCTTAAGTTAATCCTATTGTCTAATTCACGTTTTTTTTTCTTTGGGGAATTTAGATTTGGAAATGATGGGGTCCCAAATTACAGATGATGGTATCTATTTTCAGTTACGTATCTTGAGTAAAATAGCAATAACCTCCTTAAGTTAATCCTATTGTCTAATTCACTCACCTTTTCATATCAAAGGCAGAAGTTGCATTTACAACACTGAAGACTAAAGCTTTTTAAGTTAGTAAACAAGTGGACGATACTGGTCTCTTTGCCATCTGTGTTCAGAAAGACTGAGATCTGAGCAAGTCGCCAAGAGGAAAGAAGAGCAACAATGTTGTCTAAGGTGATCTGAGTGCTCTCTGAGAGAATCACTGAATTCCTGTGTGAGTACAATTTTTTGTTGAAAGCAGTTACTCTTGTACTATTTAATTTTTTTCTTATACTCCTGCTTCATCAGAAAGGCTTATTCCTTTTGACAGAGGGTCAGTGTTATAAAGAGTGGTCTATTAAAATCAAATATTTTTGCAATGAACATCTTACATTTTAATATTATAGAGACTGTAATCCCTAGTTATACCTACATTGTTCTAAAAGTTCAGATGACTTTTAGCTTGGTCTTTCTTATGGCTTGCTTTTTATTTAACCCTTTTCTCTTGACCCTCACCAAATTTTATACAGTTTAAACTTTTCAGTTATTCTAAATGCATTGGCTCATTGCTACTTTAAAAATCTTGCAGTTTTAGAACATGAGCATTTTTTCCTTCAGTGTTACCAAGAACTCTCCTCTAACAAGAACATAAAAGCTGTTCTCACACACACGCTTCTTACCTACCTGAATGGTTCACGTTCTTCACCTCACTTGTTTCACAGTAGAAAAGGGAAGAGTTTTCAAATTAGTTTTTGGTGTTCACAATGATTAGATGTGTCAGTGCCTGCTTACGCAAATGCCAAACCTTAGATAGCAGTGCTTACAGCTTCTCTTGACATCTACTTCAATGTGGTAGAAGAAAACGACTTCCTATTGCCTCCTAGTTTTCTACGTCGCTGGCTTCTGCAACCTTGCGGTGATCTTTTTCTCCTTACGAATTTTGTGCACCAAAGTAATGGCAGTATCACTGGCACCAAAATATGGATTGAAGGAGAATTGCCTGTGATGAACGTGTGAAAAAATGTGGCTGCATACACTTAGCAGAGAAAAGAAGAACCTAGATCTTAACTCCTGGCCCCTAAATTTTGTGAATCATTTTCAGAGAGGAAAAACAAAACAAAAAACAGATAAATAAAGGCAAAATTTGCACCATAAAATAGATTGTGCACAAAATGCAAAATGGAAAATAGTATAGGCATTTCAGCTGTCATTTCATTCAATGATGTCCCTGATTAAATTGGGTCTGAGACTTTATTGTTGGAAATTCGGTTCTTTCTCATGTTTTTGGCCTTGGCTATTTGAAACGGGACTGAAATCAGCCTCTCCAGGCAAATATTAACCTGCTTCTTAGCATGGTTTCTGATTCTTACTACGTATATTTAAAAACAATCTGCTTATAACTGATATTTGGCTTCAAATTGTTGTAATAGGTCTGATTTTTATTTTATATTTTAAGCAGGTTTGCAATTTTTTTCACGATAACAGTCCTGGGAATATTCTGAATTCTGGAAAGAGTGTAGAGAGGTTATTGCCTTCTTAATAATTTAGAGCATCTATTGTTTTGCCAAGTCAGAAGATTAACATTTAATAGAAAAAAATTATATATCTATAATTCAGTCACGGCTGTTAGATCAGATGGATTTTACATTAAGTGAAAAAGATGTTGAGCATTTAAGGACCATTAAACTACAGGACTCTTTTATTGGGTTCTAAGGCCTCTGAGCCAGGGTCCTGCTGCGAAGAGTATTTATTTTATACATACAGAACGCATTAAGGGTGGGAAAAGGGCACACATTTTAAAAGAAAGTAGGCCATGAAAAAGTGTGATTTTCCACATTGTGAACAGCTACCACAGATTTAGTCTTATTTTATAATAATTAGTTTCATGCATCATTAAGTAGCTTTCTTAAAGGCTAGAGGAATATGGTGAAGGCCACCTTAAAAGTGATACCTGCAGGAAATCTAAGTAAGCTGGCTATCCTCTATTGATATTTCACTTTGAGAATCCACATTCCTAATAGATTCTAGGATCCTTAAGGTTGCTGTATATTATTAAGAATTTAAGTTTGAAAATACCTTCTCCAGTGGTCCTTAAGCACCATGAAAACAAAGACCCAGAGAGAAGTTCTCATAAGTGTATACTTTTTCTAGTGATGTCCAAATTATCAGAGAGACTGAAATTTGACCCTTGAGAAGAACCACTTGCCTGTGGGGAGAAAGTCTGCACCATTCTTTTTATTAAGTGCTTATAACACACTTTACGTTGTTGCGGTTAAAACATGACAAGCAATATCTTAATATAAACTTTTCTCATTTACACCATACCTCCTGCCCCATTCCCACCTCCAAACACTGGGGAAGAATTTTATATAGGAGTATAAAAGCAAATAGACTTGGGGAGGATGTGGGGAAAAGCGAATAGACTCGGGGAGGATGTGGGGATGGAGTTAATATAATTTGTAACTTTTTTTCCCTACAATGTCCAAACAATTTTGTGATTTTCTTTCTTGCTATTCTAAGCTTGTTTTAATTGCCTCTGACTAAAGTGGCACCTTATGGACTGCTTTGGAAATTTTCTTCAGGATTTAAAAATGAAGTCGATTCATATTCAGAGTCTTCCTGCTAAAAATCTGTTACAAAATAAAAATGTCTCCTACTTACATTTTTTCCCTCTTTGTTGTTGATGCAAAAACATTGTTTCACTGGAGTTGCAAGATCTCTTTTATGCACAATTAAAAGTCATTCTTCTTTGTACTAATGAAAAGAGATGAACCATCCCATGACTATCAGTACAAGTCCTAAGGATTAAAGTGTGTCTGCCTCAATCAAATAAATGTGAGTTGCTCTCTTCAGCTCAGAGGCCTTTTTAAAAAGAAAAATGAGTTGTTCCAGTTCACCTTACTCCCTAAGCAATATAGCTCCTTTAAAACCATCTTTATTCATCCACACCAATTGACACTTTAAAAAAAATTACCCCAGCTACTGTTCATCTAAGTTTAAATATATCTGTGAGTTAAATGTGTTTAAGAGGATTTGCAATGTGATTATCCAAAATACTATTTATTGCCAATATTTTTGGTGTGCAATAGCCAGTCTTGTTATTATAATGTACATAGCCTTTTAACGGCAGCAGAGCCCAAAATATA